TAGCAATCTCCTGAAGAATCAGGTAACGGGGCTGGCCGCCCTCCCCTTTACTTCGTAAAGTAAAACTCAAGGTAGCCCCTCTGGAGCTACCTTTCGTGATATGAAGTGGAGAGTCAGTTTGATGATGCGGTATAGCGACGATGTCCCAAGGGGGATAATGAGTTAACTTTGAATTTCACATGATTGATGGTTCCAGCCCCTGCCACTACCTTGCGAAAGCAAGAGGGGCATCCGCTAGCGGAATTTAGCTTTTGTGATAATTTGGGAGTTGTTTGAAAACTGTAACATTATATTCAAAAAATGTTTCGTATTAATACGTATTGACAAGAGTCAGGGAAACATAGCAAACAACTTTGGAAGGAAAAAGGAAGGCATACACATTTCCCATGTCTGACAGGCAGCCAAGTTTGCGAGGCTTAGGCATGCTTAGACTAGAATAGAAATACTGCCAAGCCCGGAGATTCTACATTTGACATTCTGAAATCAAAGCAGGCACTCCTGCAAGCCTGTCATGAAAAATGACGAAGCGCGAAAAAACCATTGAATTGTTCGCAAGTGGGCGAGACGCAGTTCCATATCATGCAGGAAAATAACGCCAAAGCTTCCTTCATGGTGGAAGGCGCAAGGCAAAGAAGGGAAAAAACATCATCGAAGGAAGTTTAGAAGTCAAACTTCCGACAATATGGACAGATGAAAGGCAGAGGTGGAGCAGAAGAATACAGAAGAGAAGAGCAGAAGAGAGAAGATCAGAGAAGAGAAAGAGTCAGAAGAAAGAAGATGCAGGTGCGCGAAAAGGTAGGAAAGTCGCGAGACACTGTTTTTCCAATGATTTGTGGCTCCAAAGGGTCGAAAAGTAGGCTCGCTAAAGCGGCGGGTGCGGAGCCAGCTGGCCAGATGAGAGATGAACAATTGCACGCCGTTGTGGCGCGAAGCACATTTCCAAGTCAAAATGTGCAAAACACCTCAGCTTCGGACCACTTCTAGAAGTTGCGATGTCGAAAAAGTGCACGCCGTTGTGGCGCGAAGCACACTTGCAAGTGAAAAAGCTAAAAGCACCTCACGTTCGGAGCACTTTTGGAAGTTGAGATGCCGAAAAAGTGCGCGCCGCTGTGGCGCGAAGCACATTTCGAAGTCAAATGTTAAAAAAAATACATGTTCGCGCCACTTTTGGACGTTCAGATGTCGTTCCGCGTGGCAGGCGCAAGGGATTGTGGACCTTGTCAAAAGTGAGCAAAATGTGAGGGTTTTGTAGCATGTCCAAAAGCGGCAGATAGATAGTAGATAGATAGATAGATAGATAGAGATAGATAGGTAGGTAGGTAGGTAGGTAGATCGATGGATGGATCGATGGATCGATGGATCGATGGATCGATGGATAGATGGATAGATGGATAGATAGATAGATAGATAGATAGAAAGAGAGAGAAAGAGAGGAGACCTCAACCACCTTTCGGTCCATCAGTGGCTTCGCTCTGCCATCCGTGATTCACAACAACCAACCTCTCCTATAGGTTCCTATTTTTGAAACTTCCGCCACTGCCTTGTGCCGTACCACTGGTAAAATATCATAAACATATATAAATGTCGGGTCCATGTGCATAGGTCATTGGTTTTGGGTTGCTAGGCCTGAAGGGAAGGAAAGAGTTCAACCATTTCGGTGATCAAACTTCATGACTGCAAGCTATCTCCTTTTGTGAAACACTGCGCGCAACGCCATGATGCTGCCACTGTCCAACCAAACCTGCTGCTACCTGGCCCGCAATTTCCGTCAAAACCCCAAGCAATGTGCAAATCCATATTTCAAGAATGCCCCGGCAAAGCCAATAACGCTCTTTCATATGGGAGTTAAGTGTTTTCAACATGTGACGGGTAGAGTCAAAGCCTTCCCCCCATCTCGCAGGATCAAATGAGTATGGCTGTTCAAGCCCTTCAACTAAAAGCATTCCTCCTACCAAGTCCTCAGGATTGCTGGGTTTTGGTTTCACAGTTACACTTCTTATCCTGTCGGAACCTTCCAGCCATGTCCCGCCTTCAATCTTTGGATTGGCGACGTGATGCCCGGCGCGGTTCAGCATCTTCTCCGAAGGAAAGAGACCGGGCAGAGCGCCTTTCGCTGACCTGAGGTGGTTGCAAACAACTCAGCCTGGCTAACAAGTCGGGTCATTCAGCTGAACAAATTTTCTACCAACTTTCAACAATCATCAAAGATCAGCATAATTCTATATAATTCTACCACACTGAGACATCGAATCTAAAGCACTTTGAAATCACGAGACCAATCTTCCAGGGCCCGCGTTGCCGCGCCTGGCGGGCTGGTGGATCTCTGTTGTCATCGCCAAACTGCAGGGACAGTCGAGCGGCGCTGTCAGGGTCATAACATGTCATAACTCATAAGATTTCTGTTGAATATGAACCAACCTGAGATATGCTGTACGGTCAAGATAATATGGATATATATATATATATATGGGTAACATATGATAATCTGATAATCTGTGAAAATCATTTAATTCATATGCTTAATGAGTTGCTGGATGATGGTGGCTGCTAGCTGTTGGGTGTGCAAGCCACTCGCCTCGCTTTCGATCTTCGACCCTTCCTCACGCTGTCCGCCTTCAGCGGGCTCCTCTATTTCTTCCTCCCCGAATTCCTCTCCATCATCGAATTCTCCATCTTCCCTCTCGTTTTCTAGATCTATTTCCTGTTCTTCATCACCTTCGCGGTCGTCGTTCGCATCTGGATCTTCCTGAGCTTCCTCGCGCGTCTTGCGCTGAATTCGTCTTTGGCGTATTTCATCCTCAGCTGGGTCAACTTCCTCATCTTGTTCCAATTCCTCCTCCTCGGGTTGCTCGGCCTCTGTCTCAGCATCCGCATCTTTGAACGCAGCTGCTCGGCTTGCTGCCAGCTCACTCCTCAGACCAAACGTCCAAATCCTGATACATATATACAATTATACAAACATAAAGATATATTAACACATTATATAAAATTATATAAACATGTTAGTCATTTTAATCTCACGGGTTGACGACGAGGTCAAGCAAATTGAAGAGGCGACATGCTGGGACACCACACCGCTGCACTTCAAGCAATGTTGCTGGGACACCACACCGCTGCACTTCAAGCAATGTCCCCAGGTCTCGCTTTTGAAGCTCAGATGCGAAAATGCCTAAGATTAATTAAGATTCATTAAGATTCTGGAGTCGTGCAAATTGTGAAAAATGCCGCCAGTTCCAATCCTTTTCCCAGTTCTGAGCAATCTGAATACCGATATCAGGGTGCCTGGCACATCCAAGGCTCTGTGATCTCATAGGGAATGGGGCACCTAGGCTTCCAATCCAGAAATTTCATGCAATTTCCATCAATTTCCAGTCTTCAGATGTCTTCAGCTTAAAGTCTTATGGATTGAAATGGATTGAAGTTGAGATCCCGTGCGGAAGCCTGTCCGGCAGAGGCGGCGGTGCCTGCAGCATGGCCAGTGGCACCTCTGAGCCCCACAACTGGTCATCTTTAGATATTATTAGAATTGATTAGATATTTTTCGTATGGACCTCCATCACGAAGCATCCAGAAGTTGGAGCCACCCATTTGGACACTGAAAGCATGAAGAAAACCGCTGAGCTCAGAACTGGTGGATCCCTGTCGCCAGCAGCTAGAGTTGCATGCCGAAAGAGTGTTGGCGTGGGTCGGAGATCTGGCAATGAAAAGTGAGTTTCTTGAAGAGTGTTGTACTTAGCATCTCTTAATTATCGCATCATATCGCATATTCAATTCATGTATACATATGTATACGACCTTTACCCAATACCCCCAACAACATTTTGTGGCAGAACTTGATTTGTGCTGCTGCGATGGTGCACAACAACTGTGACTGCGTCACTTCTCGAGACAATGACCGGTACCGGAATCGTCATTGCCTGGAGCTGGCACTGCATTCGAAATGGGATGCTTGGATATGCTTGGCAGGTGTGTGAGAGCAGTTCCCATCATAAATCTTTGGGAAATTATGGAAACACATGAACATCATCGAACATCAATTGAGTGGATTTTTATGATGATCTAAAAACATCTAAACACTTTGGCATGGAAGTCATGGAAGCCTCTGACTTTCAGGAAGGACTTTGGCTGCCGAATGTTTCCAAAGTCGAAATACGTTCAGTTTCACAGTGATTCACTGGCCACCTGACTCTTGGGCTTTGTGGGATAATGTCCTGGCACTGGGAACTTCGCCTCAGGGCCATGCGCTGAAGCTAAGTCGCGTTTAGCAAATCGAACATCATCGAACCATCAACCAGTCCCTGGCGGCCTTGGGATATTTCGCCCGGAAATCGTCGGGGGACAGATGTGCCTGCCATAAATCAGAACTGGCAAATTGATGCAAACTGGATGCAAGTGGCATGGGGCAATGGAAATGGCACCTGGCCATAGGGGTAGTCGGTGTTCTCCATCAGAATAGTCAGGAACTGCACGAAAGAAAAGCCTGGAAAGCACTCCATGAAAGTAGATGCCCTAATAGATTAATAGACTCTATGATGCTCTCACTTCAGCTCTAGGTGCCAGGCTCCAAAGGTATCTCTTATCATCAGTGGACACAGCTACTAGGTGGTACATCAATGCCTTGCCGAGGCCAGTCACTGCCGTCTGGTTCAACCAATGGCATCATTCCATCAACCAATGGCGCCTCCTCAAAGGCCGGGTTTTGTTTGAAGATCTTCCGAGCTCCATCCATGCTGACCCAAAAGAAGTCCATCTTCTGACCTTGAAAATCTTGAAATGACAGGAAGTTGAAAAAAGCATCGATACAACGCCGCCAATGAGGGTCTCTTCTTGGTTTGAGGGACAGACTTTCGGCTAAAAAACGGACCTGCAAAAGCAAAATGCACACATCTTTCCAAAAACAAATAGTTTCCATGCAGTTTTGTGGCCGGACCCTTCGGAATAAAAAGCCAGTTCCGGGTCCTTCCACCATCAGTCTGCTGGCCTCATTCACGAAGCTCCCTTTGTAGCACCATTCCTTTGCAGCTAAAGCTTGCGCAAGCGAAGGATCCGGAAGACTAACACAAATATGCACAAATGGTCGCCGGTAACTAGTGACTTTGGTCCGTCTGACTTCTATCCCTACAAAGCTAGCCTTTTATTCTCCAACAACGCTACACGTACCAGTAGTTTACAAAATCTCAGCCCGGCTTCTGTTGTTGGGTGTAGGCTGGCACCGGTGCGGGTTCTGGGGAGGTTCCGGGAGAAGCGGGCTGTCGGGGTGGGAGGCTAACATTCCCAGAAGCAAGGCTCAGGTAAACTATACGAGAGCACATCGCTGAAGAGAGCACATCGCAAGAGGCTTACCATGTAGCTCATGTAATTCAAATATCTATCTTTTTAAATGAAATGTCTTCTGTGTACCACAGAGTCCTTCTGGCTGTTCGGAACCCAGACTTTATACCTGGGAAATGCACAAACTGTTACTACTGGTACTGCCAATGAGCATCGGGTTCCATAACTCCAAACCACTTCCGAGTTGAGGCTGCTGCCAAACGTCACCACCAACTTGCGGTAGGCCTGACCAAGCTGATCTCATGGAACGATCAATCACGAACTCGGAAACTTCCTGCGGTCTTACATGGCAAACGCGGATTTTCACCGGCAGTCAGCCTTCGTATATCTTCGTATCCTTTTCTCTTACTACCACTTACTACCACTTACTACCAGCATCTATCTTAAGTCTTAAGTGTCTTGATGTGTCTCGCCTTTGTCAACGAAGTTCTTTTTCCTTTCCTCCACTGCCAGTTTCTGGACCTGCGGATGCGGCAAGTTCCTGGACAACAACTGCGTCAAATGCGACTTGACGTCCAGCGACTGGATGAAGCCAATTTCACCATGTGAGCTGGGCATGGATCTGATAGATTCTCCACATGTAACTTGGACCAGCCATACCCAGCCTGCCAAGATGGCATCAAGTTGGATCCTGACATGGTCGACATGGTCATGTCGAATGCAACACACCTGCTGCAAACAAGCTGAGTGGTGAACCAAGCTTGTGGCCACGAAGCCATGCCAAATGACCTGACTGTCAAGCTCTGTGTCCTTTCTTCATCTTCAGTGCCGGTTGATTTCACGGTACGCTTCACGCTACAAGCTGTGAGCTGAACGTAGTGCTCCACACTCTAAAGCCCACAAGTATACAAGCCCAAAATAGATAGATCAATAGAGGCTAATAACATCCCATAAGTGTGCTTGTCCTCCTTTGTCTACTCATGCCAGAAAAGGAGATGCAGCCCACACTCTCAACCGCAGGTGCGATTGCCCTGCATAGCCTATGTTGGAAACCGCAGCCGGAGGCAACAGCAACAATTCACTCTCTGAGACTTTGGCCGAAAGCAGTGTTTCTCAGCCGGTGTCTTCGAACGACTTCCTCCTGGACCCCGGAGACAGATGCGATCAAATTGGTCAGAGAAAGCTGTTGCTGAACGTGCAGTGGAAAAGGGCCTGCTGAAACTTCTTGCCAGCCGCTTTCTTGTACATTTTGGCCTCCAGCTCCAGTAAGTTGATTCCAAGGGTGGGCCCGACAACTGCAAAATCCTGCTGCAACCGTCGTCCGAGTCCAACGTGCTCTCGAGGAGCTTGAGGCTCCAGCACAGAAAGAAGGCAGAGGATCCCCCACGGAGTCCATGATGTGCAATTGATCCTGCCATGAGTAGTTGCACACACACCCCTTCAAGAGTCTCCAAAGGTGTCTGGGAAGTCACTGAGAAATACCTTCAGGTCCTTTTTTGATCTCCTTTTTGTTGGTAGAAACGCGCACGCATTGATATAATGTATATCTATATTATAGTGTATATATATATATAAATATATATATGTATATATATATTTATATGCACATACATATATATATATATTTATACATGTAATCATAAGTCTTGAGTCTTATAATGTCTTATATCAGTTTCATAAATATAAGACATTATAAGACTAACAAAATGCTGCTGCTCTCCAGGTTTCGGCTTGGACAAGCTGCCCTGAACACGCCTCCACAGGCAACTCCTTTGCAATTCGCTTAAATACTTGCTCAACCTCCAAAGGACGGTCACTCAAACGGAAAGGGACCAAATGGATGGATAATTCTGGGATGATTGAGGGGTTTTATGGAATTACACTACTGATACCTGGCAGCATCTTGCAGCATATTTTGATAGATTTCTGGCTCTGGTCTCACACGTTTGTGTGACTTTCAAACGAACGTCCGAGAGAGGTAGATTTCTGATGATTTCTGGCTTCTCTGAGCTACTTGTCCACTTTCATCCCTTTTTGGGGGCAAAATGGGAGCTCTGCACACGCTGCTGAGCTATTTTGTTTTTTGCTGCGTCACTCCAGTTTGCAGAGTAGGTGGTTACATGCGCTTACATGCACTTACAAGCAAGTAGATTCGGCAAATTGGAACGATCATGGGTACCGAATCGCATAATTTCAACCAGGTCGTTTTGTGATTTGAAGGATCTAAGTGCAAAGGTCAAAAAAAAAGTTAAATCGTTCGGGGCCTTCAGAAGCTGATCTTCGGCTTCCAACTTGTCATGGAAGCGAATGTAGCCCTGCAATGTCAGAGCCTTGGAGGGGGCGACCGGCTCCACTGCATGGGGGCTTTACGCTTCCAAATATCGTGCGTGATGATTGTAACAATAAGCCCTCCACCGCTCCGGCTGCGGCTACTGGAGTGGGATAGCCGCCTGCGGGTGTGCTGGCTACCCCCTGTGAAATCCTTGAATACCTGGGCCAGGATGGCCTGCAGCTTTGGAGAAAGTCATAAGATCCTCAAGAGTTCCAGCCATGACGTGGCTGCATTGCTTGAACATCTTGAACAGTTTGCAGCTGAGACAGGCACTGCTAGAAGCGGACAAACTGCTCCATGCAACTGCATGTCATCGGGATGCTCCTCAGCCGCGGCTTGCCTTCTCACCAGCCCCCATTCTCCAATGAGTTAAAGATTATAATTTTTCTTCAATTTACATCAATCTGCAATAATGCACATGTCATTCCTGTATTGGTTTTGTATGGTTTTGTATGGTTTTGTAGTTTTGTGGTCCCCCTGTTAGCCGAACATCTTGCGCCATCGCCGGCTCCTGTGCAGCTTCCAAGGCTGTGGTGGCCGCCTCTTCGATGACAATGCTCTCGATCTGTTCCTGCTTCCGCCCGGCCAAGCGTTGACTCAGTTCTTCACACGCCATGGCCTCTGGCTCCGGGATCTGGGCTCCAACATTTTTCCCGAAATCTTCCCTACTCCCCAACTCGATTTAACAAAACAAAAGGACAGAAACACCTTCAACATCAACAAATCCAAGCCATCTTTGAGGCACCGGTTTTTCGAACAGGAATTTGTAGCACACAGCCAAGGCGGGTACCAAAAGGTGAGAAATGGTAGGAAGATGTCACTTGATGTCACTGGAGCCTGGCCTGTGTCTCTGGCTTCTTCATATTGCGACGGAGCCCTGTAATAAAGTCTGCAATTTCTGTCTCGCTAACTTCCGCCTCCAAAAACTGGTCTCCACAAAAGTCTCAAAGGTAGGCACAGCGAGATGAGCTAATCTTGCCACTTTGCTTCAAATGAGACACACGGACTGATCAAAAAATGTCAAACACTTGCGCCATGCCTTTCCCTTCTTCCGCTTGTGTTTGGACTGTTCCTTGCATCACCGGGCCGCGCCCGCTGCCGGCCACTGGGAATCACATGGAGCCATTGAGCTTTCGGCCATGAGTTCTTCGTCAGACGACTCCTGCTTTAGGAAGACAAACCCACACAACACCGGCCCACACCACAACGATCACAACGCTTGACGCAAAACAGTTGGAACACGCGATTTGAAGAACCTTTAAACAGCGATCCAAATTGGCTGTCATCTGTCCTCGGGAAGTGCACCCTTCTCCCCCCCGGCGAGCCAGGTGCTGCTCAAGTTCTTGAAACGGTCTGTGCCTGACAGTCCGGCAGTGGCACCAATGGGCGCACAAATGACGGCGCGTTTTCAATTTTATTTGACGATTTTCTATGGGGAGTTGTTTGATATAATTTGTTGCATGGTATCTTATGGTATTGATCAGGTAACTGATATTGATGTGTGGTATCGATGTAGTCAATGAAGCCAATTAATTATGGGATCATCACCACGGGTAGAATGGGAAACAACAACTATTCACACCACCAGGCAAATAAAAGTACAGGGCAAATTGAGTTATCTTTCCTTGCTTAGCCGCATAGCTTGATTGGTTGCTGGGCATTGCAACTCCAGAAATACTGAGTGCGGCGCGACGGTACACCGACTGCTGCAGCACCAAGCTAGCATGCTCCGTGTGAGGCTCCATCAGAACGGTATCAGCCTTTGAAACCAATAAATATAACGAATGAAACATGCCACATGCAAGTTAGTGTCATCTAGCAAAGCTATGCCCGTCGAATTCGGCCTGCTTTCTGCTTTGAAAGCTTATGTTGGATGCATCTGGACGCCTTCTTGCAACATCTTGCAACCAGAACGTTGCCACTTCTCAGTATCATTCACGGTCGTAAAGCACTATAAATGTGTGGTATAAACATGTATAAACCATCAAAATATGATATGGGTGGTTTATGGTGGTTTATTATTGCTTTGCTGGCATTCACCAGGCTTCTCTAAGCACCTGGCTCTTTTGATGGAGGGGCGGATGGAGGCGCGCGTGGGAGATCCCTGGATCATCACCAGTGGCTGGCTCAAATCCCAAACCCTCAGTGGTGACCCCAGCCTTCAATCGCACAGACCGTGTAGATCTTCGCTTTTCAACTGGAGGCAGGATCTCCACCGAACTACCTTGCGGACATGCAACTCCAAATTCGCACAACCATCGTCCATGATCCAAATATATCCAAAAAATGCACGCATGCGAGAGTGGGCCAAAAACGGTACTCCATTTTATCCCCAGAAACATCCAGAAACCATCAGAAACCAATAGAAGCGATTGGAAGCGTGATTTGGGAACCTCACTGGCTCATTTTTATTCAGGACTTTCAGGTGCGGGTGTTCCAGGGTCCATCCCCCAATGACCCCCAAAACCAATGCCTCTCCGAAAAGTGGAGGTCAGTGTCAAGGACGCTCGGCGCAACGAAGCGAACATTGAGCCAGTGCCTGGAAAAGAATGGCATCAGCCAAAATTGGGGCACTCATGGGCCCACAAAATCCAGGGGGTTGGGGATGTTGGGCGTATGATATATGTGTATTGTGTATAATAGTTAGATATATATATATATATACTATATATATATATATACTCTATATATACTCTATACTCTATATATCTCTATATATACTCTATATATATATACACTATATATATATATATACTCTATATATATATACACTCTATATACATCTTGTGTATAAAATGTATATGCATATATATGTTATATACTCTATATACATCTATATACAGTGATTCATTCCAAATTATTAAGGGAATTATAGTAATGATATCATATAATAATATCATAATTAATTATATATATAGAATTATATAGTTATATCATGTGATATCAACATAGGTCATAGGTTTTGGCAGGTTGATAATTTGCAGCCATGCCCGTCCGCGTCCTTGGGCAGGGCTCTCTGGATTGGTGGGGCTTGCAGGTGACCTAGGCATCGACCGAGGGTGGCCCCATGACATGCCGAAAAATACCGCGCTGCCAACGGCGTCCTCAGGGTGCCACAACGATGACCGGCGAAAGGACGAGAGCATCTTTGCTGCATCACCTGTTTGCGACTAGCAGGTGATGCAGCGCCACAGCCACAGAATTTCCGTGGAACAAGCATGACAACAAACAGGAATCATTGGAATCATCTCATCGCTCCAACCACCCTTGCTGATGCGAAGTTGTTGCCGCCTGTTCGATCCCCTTGCTATGTTGGCCTGAGCATGAATGTCCAAGTCTTCCAGCATGTTTCGTACACAGGGTAAGCTCACCTTGTTCTATAACTTCTTAAGACCATTCTCCGCTTACCTGTAAGGTACTTCGAAATGCTCAATTTTTCTCTTGCATTTATGTGCATATAAATCTAGTGTCAACGTTGGCCACCGATGAGGCAGGTACCAAAATGGCACTAACTTGCACACATCTTCGGATGAATTGAGCCAAGCATGGCTGCATCAGAAAGGCCATGTTTCGACGTCATTGAATGGCTGATGCTGTTTGGCTCTTTAGATGCACATGAAAACTTTCGGGTCTTCTATGGTCTTCTTAGCTTCTTGAATCCTTTTTTGGACGCGCAGAGCTTGTGTTGAAATTCGAATCCCAGCGTCACCACCGTCGCCGCTAGTGCTCAGTGCTTTGGGTGGCTGCTACCAGCGATTCCACCAGTCCAGCAGATTCGCAACGAGCAGTGTCCAAGAGCTCCCATGCTTGGAGCTGCAGCTTTTGAGACCTGGCAACACAACGAGTCACACCGCACAACCACCAGGGATGGGACCCATGGGACAGAGAAAAGCAAAGCCGTTCATGTTGAATTGAGGCCCTTGCCTTTCATAGAGGAATGTAATGCTATCGGGAGTAACTTCCAGTCCATACCCCACAAGGCACAGCACTGAATTGCGAACTCGTGAAATTCGTTCTCTCCTCGGTTCCAAACTTGCGAGAGCGTCGGGCTTGACTAAGAGTGTGCCAAGTCAAACCACGTATTACCAATGATCCGCGTCACTTTGGCTTCATACTTTTCATTATTTGCATACTTCCCCGCGCCCCAGGGTCCAGAAAAGCACAGAACAAACTTCAGGAAACAATTCTTTAAGAGATTGAATGGTACACGTGTGACGGCTGGTTGAACTACAATTTAAAAAGGACATACGAAAACAGCAAAAATATGCAAAAATCAAAAGGTGATAAACCAACAATGCCGCGCTTCATGTCCGGATGTACCTTCTGATATCGCACGTCCATCTGGGAGAAGTTGATGGTTTCTTGGCGGCCAGAACCTGCAACCTTCGGTGGCGCACAAACCCAAACCCAACCGTTGTTTCCGAGCACCACCATCACGCCAACACGTGGCAAGTTCACTAAATGTTGGGCTTGACGCCTGACATAGACAGAAGGAACGCATGCCAGCACACCATTCTGGAGCTTTCCATAGCGTGAATTTCGTGTCTGTAAGGCTAGTTCACCAGACTCTTGAACCTTTTGGACTTCCGCAGAGATGAGATCATTTTCGTCGAAAAACTCTCTTATTCTCAATGTATCTTCATCTGTTCTTCGTCGCTGAACGTTGCCAGGCAAATGAATGGCACCCAAATGCAGGTATGCAAGCTGCGCCGTGCCTATCTCCACAGCCCAACGGTCTGTTTGAACTTCGACAATCCGTCCAACAACCACATCTCCGACACTGCCCGCGTAGCGATGCTTCAGTGGCCTTACATACAGAAGCTTGTTCACGTGCTCCACAACGCCACAGGTTGTCGCAACCAACTTGCCATCTGCTCGTTCAACCACACCACGTCCACGCAAAGCCCCGGGCTCTGCGGAAACAACATCCCCTGGGCACACCAGTTGGGACTGCAGCCCAGGTATGGTTTGAACAGCAAGCTTCGGACCGTCCACCGTCAAAGATCCTTCCTCAATCCCTTCCCCTCTACCGCGTCGTTCTAATGCAACTGCTCCGGCAAGCTGGGTGAGCGCTGAAGTGGCCCATGCCATGGCGATCCAGCCAGTTGATAGAGATGTTTTCCAGCTTTTGCTTTTTTTGTCTAAAGCATCCGGATGCGCTGGTGTGAACACTTAAGGATCTTGAGGCCGGTGGACTGTCACTGCAAAAGCATTTCTTGACATATTTTGACTATCACGGGGGAAAGCACTCCAACCTGGCTTTAAACATAGTATACCAATGCCAAGACACAGTGTTACATGACATAGGCCCATTTGGCATGGACAATGAGACCTGTCGCCCTCAGCCAAATCGGCGCAGGGCATTAGAAATGACGTCATGGTCACTCACGTCAAAGAAAAACCAGGTTGCTCAACCTGGATCAGCCCGTGCTTGCAGCTAGAGTGGAAGCAAACTTGTGGATACTGAACGTGTGAGACAGCCGGTTAAAAGGGGAAAGCAATCACAAACCAATTTTCTGGACTTTTCGCACGGGTTATTGGAGGCCTTTGCTCTTTAGTGTGAGACACCATGTGGCTTTCTGCCATTTCATGGACAAACGACTTCAGTCGGATTGTGAGGATGTACCTAAGTTAAATTGCATCAATATACATCGAGGACATAGACTGAACTAGGCAACAAACAAATGTGCTTCCCAAGACTTCAAAAACAAGGCACGCTAGCCAGCAGTTTCGGCATAGAACCAGCAGGTGCCACAACAAAACACATACAACCAGTACCTATCACGAGGTATCAGTCAGTCCTCCTTCATTCCCAGTGCTGGCCTGAACAAAATGGGTTGAAGTTGCATAGTTCACTCGGCCTGAAAAATGCTGATCTATACCCATACCGGAAAACCTTGCTGGGTAATGGAATTTCATCTAAGTTTATCCGGTTTTTCCATCAACCAATCTGGATCAACTATAATCTAATCTGAATGCAGGCCATTTGGGGGTAGTTGCCCACTACAGGTACAAACCCTCCTTTCTAGTGCCTTTGCGCAGTGAGGCCGTGATGGGATTTATCCAGGTGATCCCAAATCCAACCAAATCTCATCTATGATCCGCTGGAATCCTGATTCTTACAACATATTCCCCTTAGCCACACAATATGATATTCCCAATACATCCCCATTCAGAATCATTCGTCCCCAGCCATCTTCGCCTGCTCAGCCGCTTCTGGAATTGCCAGGCGCACAGACCTTGGCTGACACACATGGACATATCTACAGTTGAAACATGTTGAAACCAGCAACAAAAAATCATAACATACCTGTAAATACCTATAACTAGTAGCAGAAATTATTTGTTACTACAATTATAGTTCAAAAACCATGAGTGCTCAATCTTTTCTGGACGCGGATGCAAACCCTAGATATCCTTCAGTGTGTGGTAGCAAAGTGGAGGTCCTAGCGGTCCAGGCGCTCAGCAAAGGACTCCTTGCTTGGACTACCTGGACTCCCATGACGTGCGCTGGTGTTTGGCTTCGAAGGAGTTCGAGCACCTGCAGTGTGGCGGAATATGCGGAATTGACAGGTGCAGGATGTCGGCTGAGACGGCTGAGAATGTCGCATGCGATGGTGCTGATGACCCTGCTCCAAAACGATTCCTCTTCTTCAGACCTTGGCATCACTTGGCATCTGGGGAGAAACACTCAACAAATCTCAGAAGTGCCCCAACTTCTTCACAAAATCACAAAATCATATGTGAGGCCGGAAATTCAAAACTGGTCCATCTCCTTGAAAAAACAGGTTTCATGACTAAACATCATCAGAAGGTTCAGAAGAACATCCCAAAAATCATCCAAGAAATGGCCAAGGTCCGCACCTCTCCTCTCCAATTCTCACCTCCTTGCATTCCTGCAACACCTGGAGCTCCTTCCGAAGCTTGGAACTTTCGGCCATCACCTTAGGAGAGCGGTTCCAAACTCTGACCTCATATGGGGGTTTCCTGGAATGGGGGTACCCCCAAATGGATGGTTTATAATGGACGACCCTACTGAAATGTATGATTTGGGGGTACCCCTATTTTAGCCTATTTTAGGAAACCTCCATATTGGAAGAAATACACTGCTACAACCATCTTCTTAGAGGTGTGAAAATCATCACCAGGCTGCGGAGGTAAAGCTTCATGAAGCAAAATGACACCATAACTGGAGTAACTGGAACCAAATTTGAACAATACATTGTGAGCATGACTTCCGAAACTACATGGGCCTGATGGATGTGGGATTTTTTTTTGGGATCTTCATGATCTTCACGGAGGCTTCCTAAATTGGGGGTATCCCCAAATCATCCATTTGAATGGGATTTTCCATTACAAACCATCCAGCTGGGGACCCACTGTTGTACCCGGGAAGGAGCGAAACTCTGGGCGCCTTGCCGCTTGCAAGTGCTCCTGGCGGCCAGGCTCCATTGAATCAACCAGGGCCCCAACAGCTGGATGATTCAAAATGGGAAAAATCCTGCTAAAATGGATGATTTAGGGGTAACCCTAGGAAACCTCCATAAACTTATATATTCGAATCCTGAATCCAGCTTAGAGGTGAAATTCTAGATAATTGCAGCACAAATTCTACAACCGTTTCTCCCAGTCTCCATTCATCTCCTAAAGGCGCCACAATCCACCAGCAATTCTACACTAGACATGAAGTATGATAAATTAGCAGACACTTTTGCCATGATGATCTCAGACAGTAACTTTAGCAGGGGATGCTTTTGAAACAGTGATGGCCATCCTCATGTAGAATCCCAACACGGTATGCACATATGTATATACATATGTATGACATAATGTTATATTTTTCAATAAAATGCACATAATTATATATATATGTATATATATAATATACACGTATGTATATCTATATCTAATCTAAATATATATATATTTATATATATATATATATTCTCCAAATGGGATTGATAATCACCAACTGGGATTGGTAGGGAGGAATGTTGATGGATCCCTGATCCTATCACCTTGATGTCAACCTTGAAGATGATGTTAAAGTCCCTGACTTACCAACCAATGTCCAAACCCTGCAGGATCAACGGCCGCACCAGTTTTCCAATGGCACAAGCAACGATACCCTCCTGCCGCAGGCAACACTGAGCCTATTCCCCGGCTACGGTGGGATTTGGCTTTCATTGAGGACCCTTGGATATTCATCTCGAACAGGCAGTGATTTGTGATTCCCTCTACTTAAAGTTTTGTTCGAGATGCTGAGATTGCCACAGCAAAATGCCAATATGATTCACTTCCCCATGGAACTTGATGTACAAGCAGTTGCAAAAATCAATCAAAATTTGCTCACTCAAAGAATGGACGTCTTGGCTTTTCCAATTTCCTCAAGTTACTGCTTATCCCCCGTTTTGGAACCATCTGACAAAGTGCGAAGCCACTGCATCCTGGCTCGGGAATCAGACCTCGCGCGGAGAATCTGCGCTTCATCGTGCAAACTGTATCGGCCTCCCTCCATGCAGGCTCTGAGGACACTGGCGTCCATGCATTTGGTAAGTGCATCGGCTAGTTGTGCCTGGGATGGTACCCAGCGAATCATGATTCCATTGTTCAAGTGTTCTTTAACCAGCTTTGCTTGCAGTTGTGTGCGAAACTCTTGACAACTGGGTGGAGCGTGGCGACTAATGAGGTCACACAAGGATTTACAGTCAGTGGTAATTATATCATGTTTATTGGAGTTGATCTGTTTAAGGAAATTGTATTGGGGTGTTGGTGCATTCGGTGTGTCATCACTGGATGGTGGGATTGCCGCAAACGCAGGTGGAAGTCTGAGTAGAGTTTCATCGGCCTGTTGCCATCGGCAGCTGCCATCTTGCAGCCAAGCCCAGTACAGACGCACCCAGGATAGGATATCCACGGCTCCTGCCAACGACATTGCCTCTGCCGACAACGTGCTAACAACAACCTTTTGTATTTTCTTGGAGTGCCACACCACTGGGTTTACCGGACTGTTCTTGTTTTCTCCAATGTCCTTGTGACTGGCCATGGTGATCATCCCTTGGTGTGAGTCGGGAACTTTTTCCGAAGCAAACGACGCATCAGAGAAGGCTACAAATCTCAGGTGTTCAATTGGAATTGGCTGGATTTTGATGGTGACGTTGGCAAACATTTTGGCTTCATGAAGGATTTTGTTGGCTTCAAGTAAAGTGGAAATTGTACACTTATTGATTTGTGATTGGAGCCATCCCAACTTACTACAAAGGTCAGGTCTAGTATTGACTGCCGCATATTGGAGAGAACCAACCAACGCTCGGAGTGATTGTCTTTCTGTTTCATTGACTGGGTCATTTGGAGTTTGACGGCGTTCTTTGGGAATTGTTATTGGATGTATATCTTTCACATATTGTTCTTGACTTACCCAAATGGATTGATCTTTTTGTTGGACAATCTTCAAACCAGTGAACGTGAATTCTCGGCTACGCTTGCTCCCAAAAGGATATTTGGCTTCAAGTTCTGCAAGACGCTTGTGAAACATAGGAGACCCACAGCATAATCCATCATCCACATGAATTCCAATCATTCCTTCAGGTTTTCCTTGTTTATCTCTGAGTATGAAGGTGCGTGGATCAAATGGAGCTGTTTCAAATCCGAATTTCTCTAAGCTTTGCTTGAGTTCTTGAAACCAGAGAAACGGAGCATCTACCCTCCCGTAGGCTCCCTTGAGCAACCTGACAATTTCATCTTGGCGCAACTTCAGTTTGGTGCGCATTTCAGCAGGAGGTTCCATGCCCAAGACTCTGTCGCTGCATTCGGTTCCTCGCAAAAACGCTGTTTTGATATCAAAACTGTGTATGTCCCATCCAAGGCTAGCAGCATGTTGGAGTATGAGAACCCTTGATAGCTTTGACATGGTTGGGCTGTCTCTTGGGATTTGACCTACCATAGGGTCTTCAAATCCGAGAACGACCAAGCGAGCTTTCGGCTTCTGGCGAGGCTGTTGCACGCCAGTGACTATCTTCGGATTTCCAGTGCTAGGACCTTCATCGACGTCCTTCCACGTCAGGATCCATCGGCATCGCAAGATGTTCTCAGCAGGGACCTGATTCCTCAGGATTCTACACACTGTGCTTGTGGCCAGCCAGCTGTCAACTTCCTTGGACTTGGCATCTTCAAACAATTGACGATCTTTGGGACTAAGAGTTGATATCTTGACTTCACTTCTTTGGCGTTTTGCGGCTGAAACCAAAAAGGACATTTCTTCGGGTCGTGTTTCCTCTTTCCAGTGGTCGATATCCCTTTGGTTAATTTCAACTTCAAAATGATAACAGTGATCTTCATGAAGGTTGAATATCATTTCTTCATCCACGTACAAGCTTTCGCCTTCATCGGAGGTTTCAGGTAGTGGGACTTCATGTGCTGGTAAGTTTACTTGAGGGTTATTGTCAGGAAAGTTATGTGATGGTGATCTACTGGAAATTGATGTAATGTCAGGTTCTTGATCTGGTTGATCTTTGGGTGACTCCACAGCTGGCCTTTCGGCGGGCTCTGGCATGTTGGGCCCATGGGCCTCAGCTGGTAAGCTTCCTTCGGTGCCTGGTGAGGTACCGATCGTGGGCGGGTCGGCTCCGGTGCTTTCTGGATTTCTTGGGGCAGTTGGATGAGACAACATGTTCATGAAACTGAACACCACCATGAGTTGGTCGAATGCTCAAATCAGCAGGCTTTTGGGTCTCTTGCATTGGGTGGTGCTTGAACTCTTCAAATGCTGAAAGGCTTCTAACATATTCAGGGGGTACCCGGTAGAGCTTGTGGTGTCTAGTAACCCAAATTACATTTTGCCCTTCTTGGATGATGACTTGCATGGGTCCTATCCAATTTCCTTCTGCCTCACCCTTCTTCTTCCACATCATGACCCAATCGCCACGATCATAGAAGCCACGATGTGGGCGACTACGATGCACGATCGCTCTTCGCAGTGTCTGATCGTTGTCGATCTCTGCGAAAGCCTTTCGGGCGGCTTCACGGGTGGCTAAATCCTGCCGGAATCGAGCTCCATCTGGCAAGTTGGACAGTGCTGTGGCATGAGCGGACACGGTTGGGTCTGAAGTGATTGAACCTGGGACTCTTACCCCTCGACCAAACACTAACATTTCCGGTGGATATCCCCTATGCTTACTCCAATGATTTTTGGTGCTTGTGGCATGGCTTAGTGCTACTGACAGTTCCTCATATGATCCAATTGGTTGTTCATGATCAATCTTATTGAGCATCAGCTGTAGGATTCCGCCATGGCGTTCAGTTCTGGAGTTTTGCCAATGGGCTTCGGCAGCACATGTGCGACACTTGACACTGTGTCTCTGCAAGAATTGTCCAAATTCTTCACTGTTCAATTCAGTGCCAGAATCAACACACAGCAATCCAGGGGGTCCGGCCCAGTTGAACCATCCTGAAATCAAGGCTTTGCATGCATCGTCAGTTGAGTGTCCTGGAGAAACAACTGCAGTGTGGAATAACGTGCTCTGGTCAATGAAGTGATAAAAATGGTATTGATCCCCATTTTTATTCGTCCAAGTTATCCCATCCATAGATACTATATCCCCAAAATCACATGGTTCGTGAATTGCACTCGGCCTTGAGATGGTAGGACCTCGCATTTCTTGGCACGTGGAACATCGCATATCGCTGATGCCCTTCAACAAATGGTCAGGGCACTGCAATTGCTTACAAAAGGTGACAAGCTTTGCCGATCCTGGGTGTCCCAAATTTCTGTGAAGTTTCAGCAACCAATTTTGTTCTTCTGCACTCAGTTCTTGGAACAGTGGACCATGTTTTTGGCTGGCAAGGTCTATGACATGTTGTGGTGGTTCTTCATCACGGTTATCTTGGTGGGTTACTTCAGTTTGTGACTGGCTGAGGTTATTGGGATTCATTTGAGGATTACATGGTCTCTTGGGCAATGGCTCTTCAGGATCATTTGTGCTTGGCTCATCACGCAGACGGCGTGGTGCACTGGGATTCATCGCATCGGCAAACACAGGTCTCTCTGGCAGATCTCTTGCTGGCACTGTGGTTGGTTGTGAGGATGCTGCAAAAATGGTCAAACTCACACGTGCTGGTGTGCCCTTCTTTCGGAGAGCTCTTTTGGACAAGGCTTCCCATGATTCCCACTCATCAGCATGAACTGTGCCTGTGTGTCGTCTAATGCAGATTTGTCTTCGAAGTGGAGCTGCATGGGCTATCATAGGCTTATTTGGACCTACGTACCTATCCGTGCCTCTACATAAAACGACATGCTTGATGCTGTGGTCAGGACACATTTGTTGAACCAATTGAATGATCTCTCCTTGCTCAACTACCAGAGTGCCAACTCGTGGTGCCGTACGATCAGCGCAGGACATGACTGTTTGCCAGCTGATATCAGCCGGTTCGCTCACAGGACTTTCATTGGACGGACTTGCAAAACGGGCTGCTATGGCTTGTGGACTAAGCTTCATGCCCAATCGGCGGCGCTTAGTCGGATGCTCATCATCACCAGCAAAAATCGGAAACTGTGGTGGCTGATCATGCATGATGATTTTTCCAACTTGTCTGGCAAACTTCTGAGGACAGTTTTCAGTCCACTGTGACATCTTCTCAGTGTGGCCATCTACCTTGGTGTTTCCTGCAATCGGCCGGTGGTGATGTTGGCCGGAGCATACTTTGCCATGCAACGCAGCATGCAGGTCCTTTGAAGTTGAGAGGACAGTCAATCGCTTTCGAACAGCTTCACCAGTCTGGGGATCTTTCAGGTCTCTCATTCGGCACATATCAAACTCATTCCAAAAGGTTTGTTGCAAAATCTCATTCATGTTGGGAACTTTGCAGTATGTCGAACCCCTTGGTTGTTCAAGATCAAAGTGTCCATGATGAGAAATTTGATACCGAAAAAGAACTATCCCCAAGGCAATTTGCCACAGATGCTCCAATCGCTGTTGTAAAACAGTTTCACATCCCTGAAGTGATCGGTTCATGTTGAAGTTGCTCCATTGACACCATGGCTTGCAAACTGGACTGTGCCATAAATGTTTGGGATTGCCCATGACCATTCTGTTGAACAAACGTCGACGACCCTCACTTGTTTGGAGATCACCTTGTACCCTACCAAATCGCTCAGCCCGTCCTCCCAAACGTTGGACTTGCTTAGTGAGCTCACTGTCGGCTGAGCACATGACTTCCATCAGATCCAGGCGAGGCTGTTTGCGGACATGCTGGCAGTTATGATCCTGAATGACCATGTTCAATTCACGAGAAAACTGCTTGACATATCGCTGTATTTGAGCATGATACTGATTTCCTTTGGTGGTGTTTTGAAACTCAAAGTCCAGATCTGTCGCATTGGCCATACAACTTGGATCATTCGAGCGATCTATTCCTGTGGCTCGGTCTTCACACTCAGTCCACGGACATGCTGGAGAACTTCTTGAAGCACCATCTCCACTTGGGTCATGCGGTTGGTCATGTTCTGGTTCTGCATTTGCAGACTGGCCACCTGGTCCTCCATCTGGTTGATCTTGGACACACCTGGTATCTCGAACTCCTGACTCAAATCTGGTTCTGAGATCTCGTCCCAGCTGTTCACTTCGGCGGCCATCGTCTCGGTGGACTTCTTCGAATTGCCCTTGGTGGAAGGGTAACCCTTCTTGTGATCCTTCAGCGCTTCCTGGTTGAGGCGCTTCTCCACATAGTGCACAAACAGTTGATGTGCCGGTTTTGGACTCTTCTCGTATGTGCTCACAAACCAGTCTGTCCACTGATGGTCTTGGAAAACCGTTTCGAAGCTCTGACCGAGCTTCGCACGTCCGAAGGCGATCTTTTCCATTGCAAGTTCCTCCAGACTCATAGCTTTGATCTTGGTGATCTCGTCCTTGGCATTGTCCTTCTCCTGGGACTCTCGAAACGATTTCAGCTTCTGAGACACACTGGCCATGGTCACCACTGATGCGGGAACTGTTCGGTGGCTTCGCACGATCTTGGTCACTCACATTCACTGCAGAACTCGGAATTGAAGACATGGTTTCTTGTGATACCTCATGCACCTGCCTTTCTACTTGACATGTTTGTTTGCTTTCCAGATCATCTACAGGCTGAGTAAGCATGTTGGGCTCGGGAGAAGCAACTGTGATATCCACTGGTGCTGGATTGTTTTCACCTGTTTCGGACACAAACGTCAGACCTAGGTTTGCAGGTCGCTGTACCTGCTGCTGCTGATCTCCATCATTCCAAAGTTGACTAATGTCCATAAGAAACAAGTTCTTGTGGGTTTGCTCAATGGCCAATTCCTTGTTCAAAGTCTTACTCCACAAAGTACCTTGATCTGTGTCAATCACTGCCTTGATACCTTTAAGGAATGAACTTGAGATAAGAAATGGTGTCTTTCCCGGTGCAATAGCAATCCTAAACTTGACTGGACCCAGCGGCAGCAAAATCGCATGTCGACACTGAAGTGTCTGTTGGTTCCCAAAACGGAACGTCAGGCTACAACTCGTGCGGGTGACTTGATCACGGATCTTGGAAGGCAAGCTGGCTAACAATTCTGGCACTTGTTGATCACCTACAACAGTTTGGGAAGCACCTAGATCGACTATGCCGGTGGTACCTGAAGTGGCAAACAGGATGTCACTGCACGATGGTTCAGGCATTTTGCCCATCACGGATGCTTGGGAAAACTCAGGCTGTTTCACATTCGGACTCTCAGTTCTACGATCATCAGATGACATCTTCGTCCTGAGGTGTTGCTTCAGCTTCATGTGAAAACGGCTGGCAAACTTTTGAACTGGTGTCATGGTTCTCCCCTTTAGCCTATCCCCACTTATTCCATTATCCCAATTATGCATCATGCCAAAACATGCAACGGTCACATCAGGGTCCTGGCTTTCGGAAATGGCCAAGTTGATGAAATCGGCAGGCAAATCTTCGGCAATCACAAATGAGGTCGGAGCAGTGCTGGAGGTGCTGCTGGCATTCTGGGATGCAGCACCCTGCGTTCTCTGTGGGCACTGCTTCTTCCAGTGGCCCTTTTGCATGCAGATCCTACAAAACGAGTTAGCAATCCTCTTTGCAAGGGAATTGGAGCCTGTGAGTGGGCCTTTGCCCTTTGATTTCCCCTTGCCTTTCTTGCCGAAACCCTTTTCAAATCTACGATGCGCTGGCCAGAAACCTCGGACTTTCACACGCTCGCTGAGACGTCTGCGAGCTTCTTGGTAACTGGAGTAGTAGGCGGACAACTCACTGTCAGCCTGAATGGTTTCTGCTATGGAATCTTCGAATTGCATCACCATGATCGCATCTTCATCGTTCTCTGCTGCCAGAGCCTCGAGCATCTCATCATCGGGACCCTCATCATGAGCAGCATACACTTCGCTTTCGATGTCCCACTCATCATCCACCTGGTGTGCAGTGTGATCATAGGTTTTCCCTGTTTTGTCACGTCGCATCCCAGTGTACTCTTGAAAGAACCCTGAGCCCAGGAGTCTGATTGCAGAGGTCACCTTTTCCATGGTCAATTGACTACCTTCCTCCGCCTTGGACTCGATGATCACCCTCTTTTTGTCATCGGCTGACAACTTGCTACCTCGCAACACTATATATATGCCTGGAGCTCTTTGAGGTCAACCTTCTTCGTCAGCAATTCTGTCCACACGACATCACTGCGGGACAGATAGCTATCCGATGTTTCGTCGGCCTTTTGAGAACCCCTGTGCAGTGCACGTTCGGCCAACTCGAATTTCTTCTCAAGGGGGATCTGGCCCCATGTTCCACCCACTATCTCAACAAGTCTTTGTATCCCCTTGGCATTTCCGGTCAGCACTTCACTACGGAGCAATTGCAGTTTCTGATAGGCAGTACCTTTACAGCCAAGAATCAACCTTGTTGCTAACTCATTGATTTTGTCGGTGGGCCATGTGCTCAACAACAATTCCACTTTACTGGTCCAGATCTCTACATTGTCAGTGGCCGGGTCGAATCCGGGAACTAGGCTTGCAAGCTCTTTCGGAACGTTTCCAGAAAATCCCTACCACTTGATGTGTCACTCATGGCTTCTCCACAAAAAGTCCTCGTCAAGCTGTGCCTCACTTCAAGACGATGTCCCTGGGAGCTGGTGAACGAAAATCGTCCAGGTAGCTCCGCTACCAATCTCCAACTGGGATTGATAATCACCAACTGGGATTGGTAGGGAGGAATGTTGATGGATCGCTGATCCTATCACCTTGATGTCAACCTTGAAGATGATGTTAAAGTCCCTGACTTACCAACCAATGTCCAAACCCTGCAGGATCAACGGCCGCAGTTTTCCAATGGCACAAGCAACGATACCCTCCCGCCGCAGGCAACACTGAGCCTATTCCCCGGCTACGGTGGGATTTGGCTTTCATTGAGGACCCTTGGATATTCATCTCGAACAGGCAGTGATTTGTGAATATATGTATAAACATCATGGTATATCTCTAGGTAACTTGCACACATAATGACATACACACATATATATATATATGTATATTACACATACACAGGCACACACACATATATATAATTATTCACACACACATAATATATATATATATCTTGTATATATATATAGTGTACATACATATGTAATTATGTATATATGATCGTCTTCATCAGCAGGATGCCAGGGCTACCATTCTCCTGCAATGTCTCTTTCTGCTGTAGTGCAGCTGCTGTCTCTGCCTACGGAATCGTGCCACTCAGTACTAGCTCTATGAGACGAGTGATCCAGCCTGTATGAATCAAAAGCGCACAAACATTAAATATATAGAGGCAACATGAAGCAACCAATGCAATCAAATTACACAAAATCCATGAGTAAAATCCGGCACCAGAAAAGAAAGCGTGAAGAATCGAGCATCCCTCGGCATTCATGATCCAAGCCTTCGCTGCTTCAAGCTTTTCTTGAAGCTGCTGGATCTCTTTTGCTGCTTGAGCCTGGCAGTACAGTACAGGTGGGAAAAACAACCAAAAAAAAATCGGATCGCTTAAGTCGCTTAAGCAAGGTTGGTGGCTAGAAACTTAAGACCTGGTCATATCTCAACATTCAACCAGCCTACAAAGTTACTTCTACTCATGACGGCCCAACCATTGTGTTTAACTCCCATCATGCCACGAATCGTGGCCACAAGCACGCTGCACATCATGGCCTCTGAGGTTGCAAGTCTTTCTTCGACCTGTTGCCTTTCTTTTGTTGCCACTGCCTCAAGCTTGGCGAGCAATGAGCCGCATCTTCGGCTTCGAAATATCTATTTTGCGTATATGAATAGATCATAATAATTTTATATAGAATATATATAATGATCTGTTATGATCTGTTAATCATTAATCTATTCTCTTAAACTTTTCTATGTACATCATTGGAGGATATTCTCTACTGCTGATATCCCTTGTGAAAGCCATGGCTTCAAACTTTAGTCGTCACTTATAGTCACAGTCCTCTACCAGCTTCGGGGGATCGGATTTGGATCTGCCAATGGGGTATCACCAATTTGCAATGGAAAAAATATGAAAAAATGGACTAATTCATTGGCCATTTGGGGGTGCCAATTTCGATCAATATTCACAAATCCGCCAATTAGTGGGATATTGATATTTCATGGGATTTAAACAACTATTAATAACATGGAACAACTATTGATCCCTCTCTTACAGCCTTGGCATTCTCCAGTTCCAGCTGCAGCGTTTCTATCTTGGCCATGGCCGCATCACCTGGCGATTGTGACATGGAGAAAGGCCGCGACAGTCCAGCGTCGCCCCAGCCTTCTTGTGACTGGTCCTCATGCCTTGAAACAGCTTGTTCAGAGCAACGCCGATGGACAAGAAATTTATATCAAATTATCACCATTTTAGTAGGATCTGATTTTTCATGAATTTTCCATCTTTCTGGGAGAGGTTACTACATGACTAGTGTTTGTGGTATCGTCATATCGCTGCTCATTGTTGACGACTGTCGTGACCATGGCCCTTAGGTGCAGACACTTCTGACTCATTGTCCTCCCGGTCCTCCCCTCCTTCCATATCCTGGAACCTCAGTCGACTCCAACCTATGACACTATTATATACTGCATGTATATATATATATATATATTATATGGGTTCGTCTGAACATGTGGTATACCGGTATACCCCAAACATGTTTTTTTCCAATAGGGAAAATTATGATTAACCAGTTGGATTTACGGGTACCTTATTTTAAGACAAACCCATCCATGTATACAAATGTATACGCATTTTTTCGCATGTATATATATATATAATGTATACACACTATGATGTTTCAGCTCTTCAGATAGGCATTCCATGGCATTCCAACTAGTAAAGATAGTAAAGTAAGAAACGACAGTCTTCACTTCTATCCTTTTGGCTCACTATCGTGGTATAAGCCCCCAAGAGCTCCCAATAAAGCGCTAAGTCTAAGTCTCCCAGCTCATCGGCCAAAGACGCTCCGGCTGCCCCGCGTAGTGCTTCTTCACAAGCTGTTGGCATCCATCGACGGGAATGCCGGGCCTAGCATCTCTGGGCGATATGACAACGGGGATGTCCTTGGGATAGTTCAGTTCAAACCATAAATATCCATAAACCATACTATGCCATACTATGCCATACTATGGATCTCTATGGCAAATTTGTGTGGCGTTTTGGGATGTGCATGACGCGATGAGGATGTGAATCACGTGAAGATTCACAAAATCGCTGAAGTGGTGATATCATGTGATTAATCCATGCCTAAAAGGATTGGATCAACAGCCACTGTCTCGTGTTCCCCCCGGGTCCCAATAGGATGGAACCCAGCACCTCATTTCTTAGCGTCTGCTCTTCCAGCTGCAAAGTCAACTCATGCCTGGTCAGCTGGTAGGATCCTGTAGTGATGCTGTAATGGCCCGGGAATGGCTGGAATACTCAGGATTAATAGACCCCTAGATACCCTAGTTTTCTAATTGGGCTGGCTTCCATTTATAAAGGTGACATATCACTAAATTTGGAACCCCCCTTATTAATACACTGGGGGTTTATTAATCCTGAGTTAACATTAGAGAAGATTCATGATTTACGTACTTGACTGCGCCTCCACATGGACCTTGACATCATTCAATTAGTCATTAAACATAGTGATTTTCCATAGCTATGTTAGATTGTCGGAGGGCAGATCCTGTATTGACAAACCCCCTCTTCTTGTTTTGTGTCATATGCAGCCCTCAGCTGCCTCAGCTACAACCCGAACAGGCGCACGACAAACATCTGAGAACCATCTCGGGTCTTGGCTCTTTTTCTCTCGCCATCCGCAGCTGCTTTTCCTTTGTTGCAATGACTTCAAATATTTATCAATATCAGGGAGGTAGCATCAAAGTCTTGGCACGCTCTTATGCTCATGTTCTGCTAAGAGGCAGCTTCGTTATGCTTTAGTATGCAGCAGGCTGAGCTGCCCACAGCTTCTTCGTTTTCTTCTGCGAGTACTTCACACTGCTTTTGCAATGCCTGTGCAGCAGGGAGGCACATGCGGAAGCCAGTAGGCTTACGTCTCTCGGCATTGAACATGCACATCATGGACTTTGTCGTGTAGTAATTAAATGTAATTAATTCATTGATATGCATTGGGGGATACACCCTGGAGCTTCACGGAGTTTCCTTTTTCGTTTCAAAAAATGTTTCCCAGGATTCCAGGCCCTGCCAGGCCTTTAACTTCGCCACACTTTGTGAGTTACTTGCTTTGGCTTCCTGCTCGGCCTGTCGATGTTCCTGGATTTCTTGCTTCTTTGCATCCACCTCCGCCTGGCGCAAAGCCCCGAACAATCTGAACACCAAAACAGCCGTCAAAATCTGTCAGTCCGCAGAATGACAATACTGGTTACACTGGTTGCTTGAAAATCTCAAACAATGGAAGCAACATGAAGCAACATGAAGCAGCAACTGTTGGCTTCATTTAGCTTCTGCATGCTTATGCTGCTGCCATATGAATTCCGCTTCTCCGATGATCATCAAAGCTGAGAGGTGAACCTCCAGGGCCCTCTGTTTCGCAGCAAACTCCTTCCGAGCTTCTTGCAGTTGCTGCCGGAGATTGCTGATCTGCACCTATGGAAGTTGACTCTCCATGATCACTGAACAAACATGAACAGACCATCACTGGGTGAACAAAATTTCCGGAAACAAAGTCGTGGCAAGCCTCAGAGTCTTCTTCGACCCAAACTTCTTCTTCATTGTGACCCTCCTTGGAATCAAATTTCATCTCATCAACATATATGAACATTGACTAACATTGAATTGAATATACCTGTGAGGCTGTTGCTAAGGAATTGAAGTGGTCAAGGATGCAGCTTCTGGCAACTCAGCGCTCAACAAACTGGTCGGGTCTTAAACCTTTCCTTGAACGTCTCTTTGGTCTGAGCTGTCCTCACCAACACGGCAGTTCTGGGTATCTGATATCTACTGTATGTATGTGGAATCCGGTATCATGATGTGCTTGTCGCACGTATTCGCACATCTCTGTCAATCGTGTGACTATGACCATGATGACCATACACAATGCCTTTGTTGTTCTTTATCGCTATTGTTCATGTCTCTACGTGGCTTTGATATGGCTTATCATGAAGGTTGCGACTGGGTTCCCATGGCAGCTGATGTCACAGAGATCGCACGGGTCCTTCGTCAGAGTCCTCATCTGAATCCTCCTGCTCCTCGACACTCGAGGGACACGCACAAAATTCGGTAATATTCTATGATGGCCTGTGACCACCTGTGGTTTGACTGCACAATAATCAAATGATTGCGGTCAATAATTATAATTATAATATATATATATGCATATATATATATATATACGTGAGCAGGTGTCCTGTGCCCATACTATACTTCTTTAATTTCTATTTGCCACCGCTCCTCAAGTTTTTGCTGCAACCGCCTCACATCTTCCTCCAACCTAGGAGTCGGATCGTTCAAGTGTTGTGAAGTTGTGAGTGGTCCGGATCTCAGAATCTCCCAGGAACTTCTAGGCATCTGGATCCAATTTGAGTTGGTTGCGACTGGTTGTGCTGCATCAAATCTTCGACCTCGGTCTACAATCGCTGAACTGCCAACTCGTTTGTGCCAAGTAACTTGCAGATCTTGCAGCCTCCATACGAATAAGCCACAAGCAACGTAATATGATCATATAATGTGATATATGATATATATATAATGTGATATATGTATATATAATGTGATATATATATATATACACATTGAGGGTACAGAGTTAGAGGGCAAAATGCGTGCACACCCACAACCCTAAAGTTGGGCCCGAATCGCAGCGCAAAACCAGAAGGACCACATAAGTTTCAAAAGACGCAAGGAAACCCGTGCTGCAGAACTGCAGCAAACATGCTGGGGTTGAAACACTTTACACAAGCATCATGGAGGAGGAGCAGCGCTTGACTGTAAATTTGCAAGTATTCAGCTTTCGTGGAGGAACCCCATACAGCAATTCCAATAGGAGCTTTGCCGTTTTAAAATTAACTCCTCCGCCTCCGGTACATCATTGCACTCGAAATCGGAGTTCGTTAAGATTCTATGGGGGTAGAGGGGCCCAAAGCCGGAACTGCAAATAAGATCAAATAAGTAGTAAATGAAGGTTATCGGGCATATGCCCTCAGAGTATTGCCGATATGCACGGCTGCCAGCTTGCATTGGCGGAAGCACATAACTGGCGGATCGTCCTTGCCTCCCCCGTATGGAGCAACTCCTGTTTGCATTTTGCAGCCCCAAAACAACAAAACAAGGGCTAGATTCCCCCAAAAATGGGGTCACAATATTAGAATTAGACGCCAGCTTCCAAATTCGCGGCCGCATTTTTGAAGGCAAAACCTGTATTGAGTTGCAACATGTTGGGTTTGCCGGGGGGGTTTGCGGTGAGTCGGAATGAGTTTGCAAGAAGGGTAACATATGTTAAGATCATGTATGTCCATCCGCAGCCGTTTAGTAGGAGGAAATTTCATGGTATTTTCAGTGTTTTTCATTGGTTTCACATTAGCATTTGCAAGATGTTTGCATGATAAGGGATGATTGTTTGAACCAGGTTCATGTTTTGCGAACAAGATTTTTTCGCGGGATCCCGCGGAAAAATTAGCAGGATTTTTGAACTTGTGATTTGTTGGAAAGAGAAATAAAGTTGTGTGTTTTATTGGAACAGCATAATTAGATTTCCTTCGGAGCCATGTTGAGTTTCGATGAATTGTTCGAATGTTTGGTGCCATTGTTCGATGAATTGTTCGAACGTTATTACTCCCCCCCATGTTTTTGTTTCGACCTAATACCTAACAGAGGTACATGCATGAGTATTGAGCACATTTATATGCGCCCTTCAAGGCTCGAGAGGTATATAGAGTAACCCAAGCACTGACCGGCAACAGGCTGAGAGTAAAATAGTGCTGTCATTGGGGAAGACGCCTTAGCTGATCTTGAAGTAGACGCTAGGGCCCCTCTTCACCCCACCCCCCAACCCCCCCCACCCCCCCACACCCCACGGACAGCTATTCCAATGTTGGATAATGAGTTCTATGGAACGCAAACTGCCTGAACGTTATTACTCCCCCGCCCACTCCCCCAACCCCCCCACCCCCACCACCCCCCACCCAATGGTCACGAGCTCAGAAACCTTGTTTGCTTCGGCAAACCCCTACGGTTGACCCAACATGTTGCAACATTTGCTCATCTTCCATCAATGTTTTCGTGGCTCTGTGCCAAAACGCTGGTTTCACAATAGATACAGTATAATTATATGTATGTATGTATAATTATATGTATGTATGTACATATATATACATATATATATATATCTATATATCTGTAAATCTATATATCTATCTATATATATATATGTATATATCTATATATGTATATATCTATATATGTATATATCTATATATATCTATATTGGCAACCCACTCAGCTTCACTTGTTTGCAGGTCGCAAACGTAGCATCTACTGGCTGCAGCGTGCAGGTCGTCTAAGAGTCCAGCCATCATCGTTTTTCCTCCACGACCTCGGCGTTGCGTCGCGTTGCCCGGCCGCTTTTTGTCCTTTCAGGATGCGACCGGTGACCACTGAACGCCAACCCTCTCCAACACACAACACAAATTTAATCAATCCAAACACATCCGATCGACATATATATATATATAGATAATTTTCAATCAAGCAATCGACCAATATCCAGCCAGAATATTTTTTACATTTCTATACCGTATAACATTTAATTAACCATAAAAAATATTCAATGAACAAACCCACAAGGTTGATTATTCAAAGCACTAATCAACAAACATATTCAAGCAACCAAACCACCAAAACCAACCATCACAACAAAAACATAACATGGCATAACCAACCCATAAATTCTTAATCAACCAAGACAATAACGAAACCAAACTTTCAAAAACCATCATTATTGAACCAAGATTTAAAACAAACCATGAAAACCAACATTCAAAAACATTATCCACCAAACATTTCACAAGAACCTCTCAACTCAATCTTTCCATTCCATCATTTCAAGCACAATCTTAACATATCTTAACAAATCCATCACAAAAATCATAGTGAAGATGCTACTCAACAAACCAATATTCAAAAGGATTTGCAACAAGCAACCCAAACAGTAACCAGTAGGAGATGCCTTTGAAAGGGGATGAACTTTTGGTGTAAATTATCTAATGGGAAGTTGGGCAAAGCTAGGTTGATAGAAAATTGTGACCGCCAACACCCATCCACTACCTCATTCAACACAACAAATTTCACCGAAACCGTGTTCAATGAACAACTCGTCATTTTACCAGAAATTCAAAGGGTTTTCAAGACTGTAATGCTTCAACAAGTTGGGAAATTCATCATGTTATTGTACTTGCTGATGTCGAAACTTTAGATAACACGGTTAATAGCAACATCACAAGACATCTGTTGGAGGGTCAACAGTCTGAACATGATAGCCCAACAATACCATCCTATCACACATACTTTTAACACAACACATGTGGAGGTGAGATTAACAATGATTAACGCGACCATTATTAAAAATCAGCCTCTAAACTGGCACATGCCTTTGTCACTTTATATCGGCAACCAAGAGGGGGAGAAATATATGCGAATTATGTGGTTGATAATTACGTATTTAAACGACAGAATTACTATGAATTACTTTTTCCATCCAATGAATAGGCAAATCAATGGAGGAGACCCTGAAAACATACCAGGTCAAGCAGGAAAGGGATTTGCTGATAGTTCATTGGCTTACCAGAGGCTTACCAGCTACAAATAGCTTCAAAGAAGCATCCAGAAGTTGAAATTCAATCGTTGCCTGAAACCTTTTACTTTTTAAGACGCGCTTTACATGTCATCAATGCTGACCAAAACTCAGTGAGTATTTCATACAGAGGGTTTAGAGAAAATACATGTGTGGAATGGCGTTCTCAACTGAAAAAAATGGTTGTGTAAATTTCACTGGAGTTGATGCCAAGATGGGTCCGCCATTGATTGCTTTCAAAATTATAAAAGGGAAACGGAGGAGCATTCGCAGAGATTGAACAAATCCAAGGCATATTGCCAGATATTGAACAAATCCAAACATATAGAATTGACAGAGTGTGGCAGTATTGTTTATGATGAGAATATTTAATTTCTAAGCAAATGTATGCAATATTTAGTCAATGTTCAATAAATACACAGGACCAACCGACAACAAACAGGCAAACCAAAATTGGAACTGTAAATGCACCTACAACTAAAGGCTATAGTATAGGCGGTAAATGAACAAGACCAACAAAATATCTAAACTGGTTAAAATATCACAAGGACACAAAATATCTAAACTGGTTAAAAACGGTTAAAGGACAAACTTGATGAAAGAGAGGCGGTGGACAAATTAAGATCTTATAGACTTATAGACATGATTTACATGATATACTTGAAACAAATAAAAAAGTAAATTATAGAAATCAACTTGCGAGAGCGACTAGTGAAATCCAAAGGGATACACACATTTAACATTTAATTCCAACCACTTTCGAGCATTTAAACCATCAAATAATTCAGTTTCGACATGTAAGTAGTATAGAAGAAAAAATATTGTTATTTACATTGCGTTACATTAAATCATATATTATATATCATATATAAAATATTTCAAATAATATAAAAAAAATCGCACGTTATATTTCAAATATTGCGAATTACATAGTATATATTATATATAAAAAGTACATTGAATATTACATATGAAAGATTATTGAAAATATAATTAAATGTTAGAAATTATAAACTATATGCTGTTAAACACTAAATATCAAATATTACAATATATATATACACACTATATATATATTTGTATATAAATATATATTAATTACATTCAAGATGTATTAAATCATGATAGATAAATATATACTATGATATATATATATATTACATATGATGTATATTAAACATATCTATTTTATATTATATAAAACATATATTATATATATAATAAAATATATAAAATATATAATATATATATTATATATTTTATATATTATATATATTATATATAAAATATATATTATACATATTTTATATTTTATATATTATATATATTATATCTAATATATCTATTATAAATATTATACCTATTATATTTATTATATATATATAAAATTAACTATTTTTCATTATACATATATATATATATGTTGTAATACATTATATTATATTATATTATATTTTATTTTATTATATTATATTATATTGTGTTATATAATATTATGTTATACTGTTATATTATATTATATCATATGATATGATATTATATTATATTACTTATTCCGAAAACAACATTTGTCGGATAACGCATGATAATGTCATATAATGTCAATACGCTTGGCAAGTATGGGTTAAAACATCATCCTACCTATGCTGAAATTATCGGGGTGCTTGATGATAATGAAAAGTATGCAGGAAAGCTTCCGAACAGAGATGTGGCATTTTTCAAGAGTCGTGGTGAGGGAAGATATTTTCGATGGTCCTGATACAATGGAAGGTTGAAAGAAGAACAAGGCAAATTATTAATAATTATTAGTGGGAGATGTCTGAAATACTTTTGATACAAAATGTGATTTCAGCAGGAAGACCGAACCACAATGACAATGGCCGTTTGCTACAGCTAGCAGCAACATCACCAGTAGTAACGCAGCCAGCGTTCATTGAACAGTTTTTATTGGATAGATTCTGGTATAGACATATTATGGTTGTTTGTTGGTTGATTTGTTGTCTGATTCGATGTTTGGGCATTGGTTGATTTGTAATTCAGTTGATTGTAAATTGATGTGTTTCAGAAATATTTTTGAAATTTTATGGTTTGGGGAATGGGTGAATTTACAGTATGTTGTGTGTTGGGAGGGTTGTCGGGTTATTCAACAATAGGGACATGGATGGAAATGGGTCCATTATAACTGTTCGCACAGAACCGGGCGTTTGCCCGGAGCCTGTATTTTCTCGCACGAAACGGCCATTCTTTTCCACGGACCCCCACGAAGTCTGCGAAGGGTTGGCAAATTGTTGTGAAACGAACCATGAAGCAAATTTTGTGTCGTACGCATGGCGAGGCCACACATGGCCACACCTAGTGTACCGTCCATCCCTGCAGTGCGGTTAGAACCGTGGATGAAACATGTATTCAAACCGCGGGAAAAAAGATATATATTATGTCATCGGGCGAAGGTTAGGTTCTGCGGGTAACTGTTAGATTCGGATTCTAAGCCTTGCTAGAGTATGGAGACTTCAAAGAAAACATTGAATCAATTCCAGCTATAACTAGGATGAGGACTCATTCAAGCATCTTTCATATCATTTTCATTCATTTTCCACATATCTACCTCTCGGAACATGTGACCACTGAATCTCTGGTCCTCATCATCGCTGTCAGCACTTCCAGGCAGAAAAGCAACCTTGCCTGCGCCAATGTTGGGTTTTGCGATGCGACGCTGCCAATCATCAACACACAGCACGTTTCATCCTCTTGCCAGTTGCCTAAAATGAGATAAGTCCATTTTGAGATTGAATGGACTGGGGTAATGATGATGCACTGGGGTAATGATGATGCAGGATAAGTAAGAAGACTTCTCGGCACAGATTTGGCCGAAGCATTTGGCTGAGACCAAAACTCATGGTATCGGAGCCAAACGCGACAGTGCTTGCGCGACCTCGGAACAACCATGAACAAACAAAAGGCTTGAGCCTTTCAGATCATTCAGGCTTCACAATGCCAACAGCCAGTCAAGCTCTGGGTCTTTAAAGTTCACACTCACAGAAACCCAGGTTCAGTGGTTGATCTGTTCTCCAAGGCCCGTTGCGACTTTGCGACATCCTGCGAAAGCTCTGCGCCTGTCGACATGGCGCTCCAAATTTGGGTACCAGTGGACCATCACGGAGATTCACGGAGGATGGGGTGAAGCAGTTTAAGCCGGGACTCCAGATCTTCACGTGATCGTTGTGGTATGTTGTGGTCACATCCACCCGCCATGCCTGACTTTTCACCGATGGAGTCTCTTCAAAGCTTTGGACCTCAAGGGTCCAGATCTGAGAAATATGTGCCGTCATCTTGCATACCTGGTAGGACTGTACGGAACCATCAATTTCTTATTCGAGGGGTTACAAGGACGGGTCAAAACCCTGTATCCCTGGTGAACATAAAAATAGCCGGCGAATGGATGTTTTGTCCCAGCAATTGTGGTGTTTCCTGAATTTCTATGGATAACGCTTCGAGTTGACATGACATGATGTGCAACTAAGTCTAGTGATCAAGATGCTCAAGGCAACAGGTTGACAATCCTCAGCTTACCTCAGTTCCACACCTTTTCTCTGTACTCCAGGATTGTCTGCTGCTGCTCCTGCCACATCGAATCATGCTGCTTTGAATCTCAAGATCAGCTACTGAATCGTTTCTCCTCTGGAAAAAATGAAATGCTGACTCAAAAACGCACATGGATATCAACCGATTTTTCGTAGTTAATCAAAAAAATCAAAAAACACTGGCCCACGTTGGCCAATTGTCCCATGTTTGGCGAGCAAGGAAGGCTCAAACGGCTCAAACAGTACGCCGGCTGTCCTGCACCTGCGCACTGAGCTGACAGCCATATTCAGCCGCTTTCTGTAGGGCTTCTTCGAGCTCCTGGTATGTTCCATTGATGTTCCATGGTAAGTTCTGCCGAAGAAAAACTACAGGGATAGGTGAAAAGTGGGGACAATTCGGACAATGCTACTGCCAGTGACTGCTAGTGTGGGTTGTTACCTACTTCTTCAAGATCTCTGCTCAAGCTTCTCTCAGTTTGAAGTTTCAACGCTGTTTTAAGTGGGGCCTGGACAACACCATCCTACCCGCTTCACACTGGCGTGCCTGTCTGGCTGCTCTTTCTCGCTCCAGTTCCTGCATGGAACATATGGAACTTGATGGAACTTGAGCACCAAATCAACACCGATCCAAACACAGGTGGCATACTGGTGGCACATCGCCTGAAGAAGTTCTTCGGCTGTTGCCATGGCCGGAATGCTGGGGTGCAAAAAAAATATATTTCTGTCAAGATTTAGCTATAGCAGTTGAATCAGACCCTACTGCTAATAGGTTAGTCACAGAGCTTCTTAATCATGAACAATTGATAGCCCAAGCTTTTGAATCATGGCATTGCGGCATTGCGACCACGAATTCAGGCAAAAGGTGGTGGCATTTGCCGGTTTCTGAAAGGCCTCTCCATCAGCATTGCTGTGAATAGCTGTGACTGGTGTCCCCACAAAATACCACACCATTACAATTAGTAGACCAAATGAACCACCATCAAAACCATGTCAAAACGGTAGATGGTAGCGGTTTGTTACTATTCTCTCTCTCTGGGGACTTGCAAAAGCACTGCAAACGCCTTTTTTCACTACTGGCGTGACTCATGTTTCCGGATCACCAGGCCTTACAGGACCAGATGTCTAAGTCTGGGTGGGTCATATCATGTCAGCTCGCTTGATGGTCGCATTCTAAGGCTCCTGCGACTCGCTGTCGATCTCAAGAACCTCCCTCGACCTCGCGGCGATCTCGGCGTTGGAGTTTCAGTCTGTGATCCAGCCACTTTGGCGTCACTCTGGCTCTCAGTACGCCTAGACACACTCAACACACTCAACATCGACATGCGGTCCCAAACCAAATCACTTTGTGTCTGTGTCACAGTCTGTGTGCGGCAAGGTGACCTGGGATTGGGCTCCCCAACTTTGGGCAGATCTTTATCATTCTTTATCCAGCAAATAGGTGACCATGATATGACATGATAGATATGATAGACCATGGGATTGAAATGGCTTGTATGAGATTCCAAATTTTGAGGCAATTCCAAGTCGTCCAAGTCTTTTGCAAGCGGCTCTGGCTTTCTTGTGATGCTTTGCTTGGTGAAACTCTCTCACATTGGTGGACCGAGGCATCGCTCGATCAGCTAAAGTGCTAAAGATCGGTTGAATTTACCACAGCGATGCCTTTAACATCCTGGCTGGGATATCCAGGCTCACAGCCCCGCAAAAAAGTGGCTATGCAAACATCAGAAGTTGTAGTGTAAAACCTCCATCTCAATGACTTCGGCTGCACTCAGGACATCCACAAGCTCGCCTGGTGATCCAGCCTTAGAATTGATGCTGATGATGCGATCGTGCTCGCTAATTGCGAGTTCGGGCATGCTGGCGTTCCACTCTGCCACAAGGCCGTCGTTGCTGATAGAAGCGATCCAGGGCTTCACCGATGCGCGCCAGGGTTTGGCATCCACTTTGGTAAACATCAGATCCAGACCCAAGCGACCTGGTTTCTTCAGGTACAAGAGATGCTTGAGTGGTCTTTCCACAGACAGTTCTACCAAGCTGCCTTTATCCCTCGAAAGGATGTCCAGAAAGTCTTGCGATTCACATTGCTTGCCGTCGATCTTCACCTTAGTGCATGATCAACAGGATCAACTCCAAACGTAGGATTCAAATCTTCCATTTCCATTCTTTTTAGGCATTTGCCCAAAGATATACAATATGATATGACGTTATATATAAGGTTATATATATAATTATATATATAAGGTCATTTTTCGAAGAGATTCCGGGTCAAGTATGGTCAGGTGACAATGCGATCAAAAGGAAAGATCTGATTTGGACTCCTTTGATTCCAGTCCGCAGCTGCTCCATCGCAACTGGCCAGGATGATGCACTTTGGATCAGAGAGATCCAGGTCCAAGCGCTTCAGCTCGTCGCTGTTCAGCCGGAGCACCAGCTCGTCACCTGACGAGATTTTTTTACGATCACTGCCAAGTGATGCAAATGATCCAAATGATCCAAGTGCAACTTGTAGAGATGGGGCATCAGGGACATGTTAACCATTGTTAACCTTTACATACCTTTGGAAGGCCCAGGGCCAGGGTTCTAGATTGGACTCACCGCCCTTCTACTGGTTGCTGCACGGTGGCGAGTCAGGTTACCGTTCAATCCAAGTGACTAAGCGCGACTGGAACCGTTGGCCTTGCATTTGCATTGTCCAGGGCCAGGGTGACAGCGGCATCATCCCGCGCGCAGCACCAAAACATGCTACATGCGCGATCCGAGCGCTTGGGGAAAATCACTTGAGTTCTTGCAGCTCGTAGGCACTTTGGATTTTTAAAATGTTTCCAGATGTTACCAGAATATGGTTCGGGCACAGTGGGTGAGTGAAGTGGGAACACAATACGCAGAAAACATAATTGTATGGTCAGGAAACAAAATCAAAAACGCGTGAAATTGACCAAAGGTTTTCTTGCAGTGCAAAGGTAATTCGCAATGCTGCTTCTTGCAACATTGATCTGAAATGTACCTTGCGGAAGCAAATCACACCTGTTCTATTTGAACATGCGTCGCCGCAACTTGCAGGGCCTTCCGAGAAAGCTGCCAGACTTGTGCATTGGCCTCAGTGATTCCAACCAGGATCCAGTCTCCAGAGCTGCTGCTGCAAGCTCCTTGCCAACTCACGCCTTGGATGCCTTGGATGCCTTGGATGCCTTGGATGCCTTGCTTAGCACCAAGACGCCATGGCCCACGCCACTGTCGCAGTGAGAAGCTGAAATGGTAGAGCTCCCCGGTGTCTGTCATCGCCAAAGCCTCGTCTTCATGGATTGCACCAAAGGACCAGGTGGGCCTTGTGAGCAACGGCAGTGGCATCAAACTAAGCACTGAAATGCACTGAACCATTGAGAAATGGCATGGGTCTGCTGATCTGCACTTAATTTGCTTTGCTTTTTAGATTGGGGTCATTGACTGGAGCAGAACCGAAATTGAGAAAGAGATTAGATTTCGTCAGTCTTTGCCGAAGAACCTTTCTGAGATTTGCAGCGCGTCTCTGTGCTAATCTTGGTTTCCGTTCTAGGTCTGAAGTCTGGAGTTTAGCTTTTATGCTCTTGTCTTTGAGTTTGCATGTCTGAAGTAGAGATCCTAGACTTTGTCCCCATTGTCTATATTCATTTTCGTTTGGCCATGCTTCGCCTAGATTTGTTGCACAGCTGATGTCTAGTGGTTCTTGTGTGTTCTTGCTGTATGTTCGGATCAACTCTAGATTTAATATGATTTCACAAGATCAAATTCAGCTATTTGGAAATGCACACCCCCTGCTTCCTTGGCAAACTGTGGGTGTTCTTGGTGTCATCTAGAGAACTTTTGGGCTTGGGCTCTTTCATGCCTTATCCACGTGCCAGGCCACGAACAGAAGAGATTTCCGAGGTTCAACCAGGTTCAACCCATGAAGAGCATGACAGAAAGCATGAGATTGACTCATTTCAGATGATTTCAGATTATTTCAGACTGTTGAACTCTGGAATCGAAACAGTATCAAAAAAACATCCTTAAAAGGGACCCTTCAGAAAGGTAGAAGAATGAGATGATTTTTCAGATGTAGAAATTCACCTAAAATCAAACCACCTGCCCGACATCAAAGAGGCGAGGCTCAAAGCATCCAGCTTTGGCATCGGCAGCGCCCCAGCCATTGCCCAGCTCCGCCCAGAGGGCTCCAGCATTACGATGCGCCCACGCCACACGGCGATGCCTGTGGCAATTTGAACATTTCTGGTGATGGATGTTGAATGATGTTCATAGATGTTAATAAATGTTAATAATATATCAATGATTGTTCATGGGTATTGATTAGGCTATTGATTTATTAAGGTATGGATGGTCTAGAGTCTAGAGCACTACAGGTCAAACTGTGTCAGGGTACGAGTGCTACTTCAGAATCTTCAGAACTCAAACCCTCCATGCACTAGTAACACTGTTGATCCCACTGATGTGCACATTGCCCCCATGTCACTAAATCGGACTCGTTTTCTCCCGCATTCTCACTGCATCACACACGACTCTTCTGCCTAGCCATTTTCGCAAAGGGTGTGGAGTTCCTCACAGCCCTCCGAACCCTCTTGTGGTCTTGCTGCATTCCAAGCGATTTGCTGAATTTCAGAGAGGCTGTGCAAACGCTGCTTCGGCTGGTCCTTGGTAGAATCTCCTCCCACAATCCTCCCACCACACGCTGATCGCGGTGATCTGTGCAACTGATGCAACTGCGGTGTCGAGGCTCAGCTAATGGCTCCCGTGCTCAGGACGGTCTTGGCCAAGGGCAACAGCCGTCTTCCTGCTGTTCGCCAAAACGCTGCGCTGCGCAACAAGCTTTGTTGGTTAAATGCCCTCATTGCAGCGCTGGTTTCAGCCAAGTCAACGCGCACCAAACGATCCAGCAGCTCGGCAATACTGGTAAATCTGTGGATGTGTGGAAATTGCGCAAAGGAAGAGTATTGATACCAATAGCGCCTCGATTGAAAGGTCTGAAATGCAAATGGCTGGTAGGGATGGGTTGGATTGCAGCCCACCTGGCTGTCGCACTCTGGGCTGACATCCCAGTAGAGTGGCAGTGTACTGCCCAAATTTCCCTCCGCGTCAAAGATCAATCGGTAGGACCAGGAGGCGTCAGGCATGAGGAGAGGAATTGACATGGAGTAGAACTCAAAGAAAGCCATCCTAGTTGGCGACTTCACTCCCTGAAAAAATATGAACACGACATATTGGAGTAAATTAGGCGCATCATCCCAGGTAGGATTCAAATGTAATGGAATGTTTTTTTCCCAAATGATGACGACAAGTAAAAAACATTAAAAAACAATAAATGAAACAGCCTAACCAGCATCAGTGCATGTTCCCAAGGGATAATCACCACTGCCCGATGTGCTGCCATCTCTTTGAAGGACAACTTCGAATCGGAATTGGCCACGGTGAATTTGATGGGATACGTCTCATCCATGAAGCGACGGAGAGCACAACCAAGGGTCACCCATAGAAACTTCGTCCGAGAAACCAGTAAGACATCATTCAAAAGAGTAGGTGCATATACAGCTTGGGTAAACCTGGCATGAGGATGAACAACGGGCACATTCTTAGCTTCTTTGGCCTGGAATGCCATCTGCTCTGCAAGGATGGGGTTGTTGCTTGCCAGCACTACATCTGACCGACCAAGGAGGTACCTCAGCAAGCCCCAGAAGCTTTCTCGAGCAGTCGTATTGTCAAAATGGTCCGTGGGCCGTTTCCACAGCAAAGGCAATCCTAAATAGCCCAACAAAGGCTTTTGCGTCATCTGTTGCAAAAGGCTGCAAACAATAAACGGACTCGTGCACACCAAGAGGTCAAAGTCGAGTTGAACAGCAACTTCTGCCAGCCTATCAGTAATGACGCGCAACGTGTAGTGTTCATAGGGAGGCGGAGCTTCAAAACGACCAATCAGAGCCGCAATGGGATCTTCGGAATTCTCATCACCTGCCCCACACATTTCGGGGAATACTGCGCACTTGTAGGTAATGCCGAAAGTATGAAGTAACTTCACGGTTTGCTTCGAGGTAAAGGCAAAATCCCTCAGCATCGTCACTGCCTCCAGGGTGAGTGTAGGATGGGTGCCCACTGCTACTAGTCTCACCTCCGAACACTGCAGGGTCAAGGATAGCTGTTTGGCCAAGTTGGCTGCTGGCAAGGCGTAAAGAGAAGAGCCTGGCCTTGCAGCGCTTGCCGGTGCCTCTGGACTTCCACTGGCCAAATGGAAGGCATCGGCACTTTGGTTGATGTTGGCGATGATATCATTGGCATGAATTGGCCACAAACTTGACTCCTGGAAGTCCAAGCAATACTGCAAACCTAAAAGCGAATTGGCCATCATCAAGTATTCCTGCGCCTGTTTTGGGTTGGGAGCTGTCTTGACCCCAGCAATTCCACTATGGAGCCCTGCAGCTGCCACAAACAAGGCGTTCACCGCACCATAGAGGCAAAAGCTGCCGGTGCTGCTGTCGGAGCAGAGGTCCTCATAAAAAATCTGCGCTCCTTGCATCAATGCTCCAGGCATAGCCTCCAATTGATGCACCATGGCCTGAGCATCTTCCACCAACTGCAGGGGTAGACTGATGGCACCGTCATCAGTAGCTGCTCGAAGTGAGCTCTGGAACAGCGACCAGGCTGGATCACCTGAGCAATCAAAGATATGGTGAGCACCGCGCCCGGTTGAAGAGCCAAAGAACAGAAGAAGTGACACGCCGCGCAGCAATCTCAAGTGATATGACATGAGTGAAGAGCCGCTTGCGAACTCATTCCCGCTAGTTCGGTCAGTTCCTTCGGAGCCATGTTTTTTGAGCAAAGAATAGCTGCAACGTGACAGTTTACCCACTTCATTATACTGGAACAGCCTCAACACATCTCAACACTCCCCTGATCAAGCTGTCATGACTCTTGACCAACACCTTGCCAAACCATCCCCCTCTAGTCGAAAAAGGCAAAGAACATGGTAGATGCAGGAAAACACAGAAGAGTCACCAAGAATCCCGATAGCTTAGCAGCTTAGAAAAGCGCAAATCGAGGCCGCAAGAGTAACAGAAACGGATCTAAATAGAAAGACCGACTATTCCTGACCTGGCCATTCTTAGACACCCTGCAAATCCGCCGACCCCGGCAGACGCAAGGGGGAGCGCGCCAGGGAATAAGACATTTGACCCTTGTCGCACTACTACTACTACTACTATTACTACTACTACTACTACTACTACGACTACGACTACGGCTACGGCTACGGCTACGACTACGAGTTTCGAAAAAGATGTCTGGCTGTTGGTTTCTCGCCTTGGAGGCTGTTGTTTCGCAACCCATTGTACAAACAGCGGCGCAAAAACTGGTCGAAAACTATTGTTTTTCGGCAGGGTGCGTTTTCAGCTTCGGGAGGAAGAGCGGCAGCAACAGGAGCAGCAGGAGGGTTCTATGTCTCACTATGTCTCATTGTGCAAACAGCGGTACAAAAAATGGTCGAAAACTATTGTTTTTCTAGGGTTTCAGAAGGGACGTTAGGCAGTTTTTGGGTTCGATTTTGGCGCTGTTCCGTCCTTCAGGGCCACTGTGTTTCCCTGTCCGGCAGCGTGCGTTTTCAGCTTCGGGAGGAAGAGCAGCAGCAGCAACAGGAGCAGCAGGAGGTTTCTATGTCTCACTATGTCTCATTGTACAAACAGCGGTACAAAAAATAGTCGAAAACTATTGTTTTTCTAGGGGTTCAGAAGGGACGTTAGGCAGTTTTTGGGCTCGATGTTGGCGCTGTTCCGTCCTTCAGGGCCACTGTGTTTCCCTGTCCGGCAGCGTGCTTTTTCAGCTTCGGGAGGAAGAGCAGCAGCAGCAACAGGAGCAGCAGGAGGGTTCTATGTCTCACTATGTCTCATTGTACAAACAGATGTACAAAAAATGGTCGAAAACTATTGTTTTTCTAGGGTTTCAGAAGGGACGTTAGGCAGTTTTTGGGCTCGATGTTGGCGCCGTTCCGTCCTTCAGGGCCACTGTGTTTCCCTGTCCGGCAGCGTGCTTTTTCAGCTTCGGGAGGAAGAGCAGCAGCAGCAACAGGAGCAGCAGGAGGGTTCTATGTCTCATATGTTTCATTGTACAACAGTGGTATAAAAACTGGTCGAAAACTATTGTTTTTCTAGGGTTTCAGAAGGGACGTTAGGCAGTTTTTGGGTCGATTTGGCGCTGTTCCGTCCTTCAGGGCCACTGTGTTTCCCTGTCCGGCGGGTGCGTTTTCAGCCTCGGGAGGAAGAGCAGCAGCAGCAACAGGAGCAGCAGGAGGGTTCTATGTCTCATTGTACAAACAGTGGTACAAAAACTGGTCGAAAAACTATTGTTTTTCTAGGGTTTCAGAAGGGACGTTAGGCAGTTTTTGGGGCTCGATTTTGGCGCCGTTCCGTCCTTCAGGGCCACTGTGTTTCCCTGTCCGGCAGCGTGCGTTTTCAGCTTCGGGAGGAAGAGCAGCAGCAGCAACAGGAGCAGCAGGAGGGTTCTATGTCTCACTATGTCTCATTGTACAAACAGCAGTACAAAAACTGGTCGAAAACTATTGTTTTTCTAGGGTTTCAGGAGGGACGTTAGGCAGTTTTTGGGTCGATTTTGGCGCCGTTCCGTCCTTCAGGGCCACTGTGTTTCCCTGTCCGGCAGCGTGCGTTCTCAGCTTCGGGAGGAAGAGCAGCAGCAGCAACAGGAGCAGCAGGCGGGTTCTATGTCTCACTATGTCTCATTGTACAAACAACGGTACAAAAAATAGTCGAAAACTATCGAAAACTATTGTTTTTCTAGGGTTTCAGAAGGGACGTTAGGCAGTTTTTGGGCTCGATTTTGGCGCCGTTCCGTCCTTCAGGGCCACTGTGTTTCCCTGTCCGGCAGCGTGCGTTTTCATCTTAGCAGCAGGAGGGTTCTATGTCTCACTATGTCTCATTGTACAAACAGCGGTACAAAAACTGGTCGAAAACTATTGTTTTTCTAGGGTTTCAGAAGGGACGTTAGGCAGTTTTTGGGCTCGATTTTGGCGCTGTTCCGTCCTTCAGGGCCACTGTGTTTCCCTGTCCGGCAGCGTGCGTTTTCAGCTTCGGGAGGAAGAGCAGCAGCAGCAACAGGAGCAGCAGGAGGGTTCTATGTCTCACTATGTCTCATTGTACAAACAGCGGTACAAAAAATGGTCGAAAACTATTGTTTTTCTAGGGTTTCAGAAGGGACGTTAGGCAGTTTTTGGGCTCGATTTTGGCGCCGTTCCGTCCTTCAGGGCCACTGTGTTTCCCTGTCCGGCAGCGTGCGTTTTCAGCTTCGGGAGGAAGAGCAGCAGCAGCAACAGGAGCAGCAGGAGGGTTCTATGTCTCACTATGTCTCATTGTACAAACAGCGGTACAAAAAATGGTCGAAAACTATTGTTTTTCTAGGGTTTCAGAAGGGACGTTAGGCAGTTTTTGGGCTCGATTTTGGCGCTGTTCCGTCCTTCAGGGCCACTGTGTTTCCCTGTCCGGCAGGGGAGGAAGAGCAGCAGCAGCAACAGGAGCAGCAGGAGGGTTCTATATGTCTCATTGTACAAACAGCGGTACAAAAAATGGTCGAAAACTATTGTTTTTCTAGGGTTTCAGAAGGGACGTTAGGCAGTTTTTGGGCTCGATTTTGGCGCTGTTCCGTCCTTCAGGGCCACTGTGTTTCCCTGTCCGGCAGCGTGCGTTTTCAGCTTCGGGAGGAAGAGCAGCAGCAGCAACAGGAGCAGCAGGAGGGTTCTATGTCTCACTATGTCTCATTGCACAAACAGCGGTACAAAAAATTGTCGAAAACTATTGTTTTTCTAGGGTTTCAGAAGGGACGTTAGGCAGTTTTTGGGCTCGATTTTGGCGCCGTTCCGTCCTTCAGGGCCACTGTGTTTCCCTGTCCGGCAGCGTGCGTTTTCAGCTTCGGGAGGAAGAGCAGCAGCAGCAACAGGAGCAGCAGGAGGGTTCTATGTCTCACTATGTCTCATTGTACAAACAGCGGTACAAAAAATGGTCGAAAACTATTGTTTTTCTAGGGTTTCAGAAGGGACGTTAGGCAGTTTTTGGGCTCGATTTTGGCGCCGTTCCGTCCTTCAGGGCCACTGTGTTTCCCTGTCCGGCAGCGTGCGTTTTCAGCTTCGGGAGGAAGAGCAGCAGCAGCAACAGGAGCAGCAGGAGGGTTCTATGTCTCACTATGTCTCATTGTACAAACAGCGGTACAAAAACTGGTCGAAAACTATTGTTTTTCTAGGGTTTCAGAAGGGACGTTAGGCAGTTTTTGGGCTCGATTTTGGCGCCGTTCCGTCCTTCAGGGCCACTGTGTTTCCCTGTCCGGCAGCGTGCGTTTTCAGCTTCGGGAGGAAGAGCAGCAGCAGCAACAGGAGCAGCAGGAGGGTTCTATGTCTCACTATGTCTCATTGTACAAACAGCGGTACAAAAAATGGTCGAAAACTATTGTTTTTCTAGGGTTTCAGAAGGGACGTTAGGCAGTTTTTGGGCTCGATTTTGGCGCCGTTCCGTCCTTCAGGGCCACTGTGTTTCCCTGTCCGGCAGCGTGCGTTTTCAGCTTCGGGAGGAAGAGCAGCAGCAGCAACAGGAGCAGCAGGAGGGTTCTATGTCTCACTATGTCTCATTGTACAAACAGCGGTACAAAAAATGGTCGAAAACTATTGTTTTTCTAGGGTTTCAGAAGGGACGTTAGGCAGTTTTTGGGCTCGATTTTGGCGCCGTTCCGTCCTTCAGGGCCACTGTGTTTCCCTGTCCGGCAGCGTGCGTTCTCAGCTTCGGGAGGAAGAGCAGCAGCAGCAACAGGAGCAGCAGGAGGGTTCTATGTCTCACTATGTCTCATTGTACAAACAGCGGTACAAAAAATTGTCGAAAACTATTGTTTTGCTAGGGTTTCAGAAGGGACGTTAGGCAGTTTTTGGGCTCGATTTTGGCGCTGCTCCGTCCTTCAGGGCCACGTCCGGCAGGGTGCGTTTTCAGCTTCGGGAGGAAGAGCAGCAGCAGCAACAGGAGCAGCAGGAGGGTTCTATGTCTCACTATGTCTCATTGTACAAACAGCGGTACAAAAAATTGTCGAAAACTATTGTTTTTCTAGGGTTTCAGAAGGGACGTTAGGCAGTTTTTGGGCTCGATTTTGGCGCTGTTCCGTCCTTCAGGGCCACTGTGTTTCCCTGTCCGGCAGGGTGCGTTTTCAGCTTCGGGAGGAAGAGCAGCAGCAGCAACAGGCAGGAGGGTTCTATGTCTCACTATGTCTCATTGTACAAACAGCGGTACAAAAAATGGTCGAAAACTATTGTTTTTCTAGGGGTTCAGAAGGGACGTTAGGCAGTTTTTGGGCTCGATGTTGGCGCTGTTCCGTCCTTCAGGGCCACTGTGTTTCCCTGTCCGGCAGCGTGCGTTTTCAGCTTCGGGAGGAAGAGCAGCAGCAGCAACAGGAGCAGCAGGAGGGTTCTATGTCTCACTATGTCTCATTGTACAAACAGCGGTACAAAAAATAGTCGAAAACTATTGTTTTTCTAGGGTTTCAGAAGGGACGTTAGGCAGTTTTTGGGCTCGATTTTGGCGCCGTTCCGTCCTTCAGGGCCACTGTGTTTCCCTGTCCGGCAGCGTGCGTTTTCAGCTTCGGGAGGAAGAGTAGCAGCAGCAACAGGAGCAGCAGGAGGGTTCTATGTCTCACTATGTCTCATTGTACAAACAGCGGCACAAAAAATGGTCGAAAACTATTGTTTTTCTAGGGTTTCAGAAGGGACGTTAGGCAGTTTTTGGGCTCGATTTTGGCGCCGTTCCGTCCTTCGGGGCCACTGTGTTTCCCTGTCCGGCAGCGTGCTTTTTCAGCTTCGGGAGGAAGAGCAGCAGCAGCAACAGGAGCAGCAGGAGGGTTCTATGTCTCACTATGTCTCATTGTACAAACAGCGGTACAAAAAATGGTCGAAAACTATTGTTTTTCTAGGGTTTCAGAAGGGACGTTAGGCAGTTTTGGGGCTCGATTTTGGCGCTGTTCCGTCCTTCAGGGCCACTGTGTTTCCCTGTCCGGCAGCGTCCGTTTTCAGCTTCGGGAGGAAGAGCAGCAGCAGCAACAGGAGCAGCAGGAGGGTTCTATGTCTCACTATGTCTCATTGTACAAACAGCGGTACAAAACTGGTCGAAAACTATTGTTTTTCTAGGGTTTCAGAAGGGACGTTAGGCAGTTTTTGGGCTCGATTTTGGCGCCGTTCCGTCCTTCAGGGCCACTGTGTTTCCCTGTCCGGCAGCGTGCGTTTTCAGCTTCGGGAGGAAGAGCAGCAGCAGCAACAGGAGCAGCAGGAGGGTTCTATGTCTCACTATGTCTCATTGTACAAACAGCGGTACAAAAAATGGTCGAAAACTATTGTTTTTCTAGGGTTTCAGAAGGGACGTTAGGCAGTTTTTGGGCTCGATTTTGGCGCTGTTCCGTCCTTCAGGGCCACTGTGTTTCCCTGTCCGGCAGGGTGCGTTTTGAGCTTCGGGAGGAAGAGCAGCAGCAGCAACAGGAGCAGCAGGAGGGTTCTATGTCTCATTTTACAAAAAGTGGTACAAAAAACTGGTCGAAAACTATTGTTTTTCTAGGGTTTCAGAAGGAACTTTAGGCAGTTTTTGGGCTCGATTTTGGCACTGTTCCGTCCTTCAGGGCCACTGTGTTTCCCTGTCCGGCCGGCAGGGCGCGTTTTCAGCTTCGGGAGGAAGAGCAGCAGCAGCAACAGGAGCAACAGGATCAACAGCAGCCGCAGCCGCAGCAGGAGCAGCGCAGCACTTCTTCATCATCAGCAGCAGTAGCAGCAGCAACAACAACAACACCAACACCAACACCAACACCAACACCAACACCAACAACAACAACAACAACACAAACAACAACAACAACAACAACAACAACAACAACAACAACAACAACAACAACAACAACAACAACAACAACACCACAACAACCAACAACCAACAACCAACAACCAACAACCAACAACCAACACAAACAACACAACAACAACAACAACAACAACAACAACAACAACAACAACAACAACAACAACAACAACAACAACAACAACAACAACAACAACAGCAACAACAACAACAACAACACCAACAGCAACAGCAACAGCAACAACAACAACAACAGCAACAAGAAGAAGAACAAGTAGAACAAAAACCGGGCGCTGAAGGAAACTGCACCTTATTCCTCAGCTCGTTTGCCACTCTGTCTGCGGGCACGCGCGACCATTCGGTTGCTTATGCTTGCTCTGAATTCGCCCCGCTTCTTTGCTGCTGTGGACACAAGTTCCGCAAGTTGGGCATGTGTGCGCATACCGCATGGTCGGACGGAGGCTACCGTTTTCGACACGAAACAACTGCGAATGGTGCTGCGGTCCAGCATGGCATGAATGGAAGTTGGACACTGTCATGATGGTAAACAAAACAGCAAACAGTTTGTGCCACTACTGGAACAGCAAGTGCCCTTTAAAGTTGAAACCACACCCTCCTATACAAGAACTTGAACTGTGCACCAATACTGTTCATAGGGAATGCTACGAAACACACCTCAACCTGTGAAGTTATCTAAGAAACACACTCTGAGTTCATCTCGGACAAGAAAATGAGGCCGACTAAATTCAAGTTGTGGCACATAGGGTGTACACATACATATAGATACTCACTAATTTCTTACATCTCCCGCCTTTTTCAAAAGTTCAGCTATGCTAAAAGGCAACGAGTAGAATCTGCATCTATCACCGCACTTGAGCTGTGTGAAAACACAGCGCAAACCTCTTTTTTTTCTCCGGGGTCGGCGGCAGGGGCGGCAGCCCTTAAATAAAAAAAGGAGAAACCACACATTTTCAATGGACGGCCTTATCTGGTTCGCCTATGATGTCTCTGTCATTCCATGTCCAATCATGTCCAATCTCGATGGGAGCAAATGAAACCGCTGACCAACTTACCAATCCAAAGGGAAGCCCAGAACATACCTAAAATCTTATGCCCATCCCTCGAGCCTTGTGCACCATCCAGTGCTGCTGACTGTAACTGAGCCTGTGGAGCATCCAATGGCGAGCGTTTGCACTCAGTGTCTGCTGGCCAAAGGTGGCAATCATTTTCTCCTTAGCTGATGAGTCAGTGATGAGGCCTCATGGGATTCATCCGGATCGACAAAAAGTCAGGCAAGAATAACACATAATAACCAAATCCATCCAAATCCGTGGTATGGTTTCTGTACTCAAACTTGATCTTTTTGGGGATCCAAGAGGTCCGGAATTTATCCAGATCATTTGGGTTGAGGATTTGATTTATTTCCGTAAACTCCTGGAAATGGGAGATCAAAACATATCAAAACCCAGCCGAGAGTCTGGCCACAAAGACTTCTCCTTTAGAGGACAGTGCTACTGCTGTTACAGCAGTTCCTTCGCAGAAAGACTGGGGCTCTTGCCAGCGAACCATTTCAGAGATGTTGGGCCCGGTCACAAAAGCTCGGATTCCGTCCGTCACTGCGATGTTCTTTGCATCAGTACTGCAACTGGCGGAAGTTGGAGCGAACCAAGATCGCGGTAGCTTCACATCAAACAGTTTGTCAATTTGAAGGCAATCCCTCCCACGTATGGGTGGGGTTGCTTGTGTTTCACTTGCGTGACTCGGCTGACTGTTGATAATTGCACTGGTAATTGGTGCCAGAAGCCATGCCACCCCCACCACTGCTGAACTCGCCTGAAAAAAGCGACGGGCTGATTGGCCCATGCTGCTTTTGGCGGCCTGACCTTTGGTCCTGAACTGCGCTTCAAAGGCCTTGAGGCTGGCTGCAGCATCAGGTGAACCCCCATAGGCGGCCAAGCGTCCGGCGTCCCGTGAGGTCCACGACGACAATCTGGAGGGTTTCAGGACCCGCAGTAGCACTGCTGCTGTCTCCATCAGTTCTCCCACGCTTGTCTCGTAGCCTTTGTGCCGCCGCAGGAAGAGACAAGCATGGGAGGAATTTTGATCCAAGCTGACCCAAATACGATGACTTGAGGCATCAGATTCTTCTCGTTGGAGAAGCCAAAAGCCAGTGTCATGAGGACCTGCCACACCTGGTCTTGGTGAAGATCCTTCGGAGAGAGTCCGGAAAACACCCTTTCCACTCCCTTTCGTCAAGCTGGATCTAGACACATCAGTCCATCCAACCTGTTCCAAGACTTCTTGCAAGCGATTTTTGCTCCCGCGGACCTGTTCCAACACTTCTTCTTCCAATTGGCTTGCCACATGTTCTTTCAGCAGTGCCTCGAGGCATTGTAGCAGTTGACTGGCAGCAGCTGCAGCTGCAGGCGGAGGTGCCCTGGATAAGTTTCTGGATGGAGCCAAGCTCCCAGCTACACAGCTGTTGGAGGCGAAGGGGTTCAAAATGTCGATGTACAACGAGGCCCGCCAGCGTCGCGGCAATCCGTTGCGCAAGGCCAAGGCGGAGCCACAGAGAAACCAAACCCAACAGCCTTGCAGAAACGAGGCCAAGATCATGAGGTTCTGCTGGTTCAGGGTGATTCCAGCTGCGGCAGTGATGGGACCAGATAATGATACAATGGCCCAGGCGGCATGCTCGACCCGCTGGAGTACGACATCAATGGTCACAGACCACCATGCCAGTACAGACATGAAACCGAAACAAAACCAGCCAGAAGCAAAGGGATCCAGTTCCTCACTGCTGCTGCGGCTGAAGAAGGTTGCATAATATGCAATCCCTGACAGTAAAGTGCTAGTCCCAATCGACATGCAGACTTTGCTGTACAAATCAAAGGTCTGCCAGTTGCGCATCAGGAAGGAATAGAATTTCAAGTGTGGATTCGCATCCAGCTCTTCACTGGTAGCACCTTGCGCTGACTGTTCCGGCAAGCGGATGGGAAAACTGGGCGGATCCCTCCCTTCACTTGGTGGACTTGGAGGAGCCCAGGGCACAGGTGACACCCTGGGACCAGGCGCTCCCTGTGGCCCAGCCTGTGGTCCGAGTGGTCCTGGCCGCTTCCCAGTCCAGGTCGTGCCCATGGTGCCCTGCAGGGGCAATCGGAAAGCATCATCCAGATTCGTCTCATAGGCCTTGGCTGCTGGCACCGCCGAGCTAATCTGCTGATCTGTGGCCACCGGAATCCGCGCCGCTTGGAGGAGCATCTTGGTGGTGAAGGATTGGGCCACAATAGAGGCGTGCATGGAGAGCCAAATGGATATCAGTAGGAATAGGAAGGCGGTCAAGAAACAAACTGAGAACAACAGCGTCACCTGCCGTTCCATGTATCCTGGATGTTGCGGACCATCAGTTCGGTCGTAGTTCAAGAAAATGGTGACGATGAAACCAAGCTTCAGAGTATTCACAATGAGATAGCTGTCCATCTTGTTCACGGTGAGAGCTGCAAGGTCCCGGATGTCCTCACGAAACAAGCTGTAACGGCTCACGGCCATATTTTGCCTTTGGAACTCGCAAGCTTGTTGCACTTGCCAGTCCCATTGCCAGTTCTCCCGGTTGTAAGACCACAACGAGTGGGCAAAGCCGGTGAAAAGAGCTGCTTCAGCAACCGGCATGGCGGCAAAATGTCTTTCAAAGTTGAAATAAGTGATAGCAAGTAATTTAAGGGTAAAGGATCTGGCGTGTCACTTTACTATCATGACTTTTTTCAGCCAGTGGGGTTGATTATATTCATTTCATTCAGTATGCAGTGTTTCAAGTGTTGGATTGTTCTTATGTTTGCTTTTAGAGTCCTGGAAGCTGCATTTGAGAGAACACCTCTCGTCCAGCAGGTGTTGTTGTAGAGTTGTGCTTCTGCAACAATATATATATGTGTGTGTGTGAATCAAAGACCCCCAAAAAAACACATGTAACCCTTTTCCTATTGGATATGGCCATGAATTTAGTCCAGACATAAGGCATATCCCGATTCCAATGGAGTATCATTATAATTTTCCCCATAGCCATCCCCTACCGGGTAGCAAACCTTGGGAATCAAATGACGTGTTGTTGTTATATGTTTTTCCTCACATACCCTCTGGTAATTTAACATAGCTATTGAAAATGGCCATTTATAGTGGATTTTCCCATAAAAAAATTGTGATTTTCCATAGTTATGTTAGTTTACCAGAGGGTACCCTGAACATCCATAATCCATTCAACATCCAATCATAGCCCCAGCCCTGCTGCGACAATGTGAGGCTTCGACTGCGACTCGGCGGGATTCTGGTTGAGCAACAACTGGGTAGGAAAAGAGTGGTCAAAGATCATCGATGGGTCCACCATGGGGTTGGTATCTACCTAATCTAATCCTATCCAATCTTCAATCAAACAAACAAATCAACCAACCAACCAATCAATCAAGCAGTCAGTCGATCAACAAACAAACCAACTAACCAATCAATCAAATCAAATTCAATTAAATCAATCAATGAAATCGAATCAATCACATCAATCAAATCAAATCAAATCAAATCAATCAATGAAATCGAATCAATCACATCAATCAAATCAAATCAATCAAATCAGGTCAAATCAATAAAATCAATCCAATCAATCCAATCAGTCAATCAATCAACCACGGCATCTATCAATCTAAATATACTATGCATGTACCGATGATCAAATGATCCATCCATCATAAGTCAATATGGTTTATCGTGCCTTCTCCGTGGTCCGGCTGGGCGGATCAGGCAGCGCCCCCGGATCAAACCTCGGCCGGATGCCATTGATGGTGTGGTACCAGTTACCCTCCAGGAAACGTTTCATAATGTTTCATAGTTGGACCCTGGCAAATAGGGATTGGGAAGAATGGTTTGCACCAAAAAGTCATGATTTTCGATGATTTTCAGGGTCAAATTGTTCATTTACCAAGAAGGGTATGACTCATAACATGTTTAATGAGGCCATCCTGAGGTGCTGGCTCCAGTTTGGCCTTGTCAAGGACCTCACGAAGCCTTAACCAAGAACTCGGTGATTCAATGTGGAGATATATCTGGAGTTAGTTGATGGGCTTTTTAGATGTTTTTATGTACCTCTATGGGGTCATGGGTTATCACCAACTAAAGATGATAGTGTATGATATGGCGATAATTGAATTTGAATATATTGACTATGGTTGATTTCCCGAGTCGGATTATAGTGAAACAAGGCAGAGCCAGAGTTGCTAAATGGGATGCACGTCTACATAGGATAGACATCTATGTTTCGGAGATGATGTTAAATCTGACGTCTTCACTTAGATTGCGACACTGCAAACGGATGTACTTGCCCATCTGGGAGCTTCTGGCAAAGAATTGGGAGGCAAAAAGAGTTCTTGCAGCAACATACTCAACGGATCTCAACGGATCATGGCCATCTTCATAGTTCTCGCCTCCAGTAGCTTCAGTGCGCCCTCCAAGAGTTCCAAACCCCACGATTCCTGAACCAATGTGACCAGACATACGATGCAGTGGCAGTGCCACACTTCATTCAGCGCTCCTCCACGTTTCCAAGCAAGTTCTCCACCATTCTCATCCAATCTTTGAAACGCCTTGGGCCAGCAGGGCAACGCGATAGCAGGGAATGCCTGCACCATCCTGCAACCACTTCGAAATAAGGCTCGGTGCCAGCCGGCTCGACACCAACCATAGCCTCAACAGCCGGGTCACGACAGCAAGGGCTTAGAATTGCAGCCATGTTGCGGCTGGGGCCAAGCTGGCCAAGCTCCACACCGGTGTTGGGTGCAAATGCAGGGTACAGGGCAGCCAGCAGCAGAGAAATCACCTGTAGGGCCAGGTTGTGATCAGAGGCAAACGACTGCTTTCAGTGCACTTTCAAGATCTTTCAAGCACGTGACTCTAAAAAGGCGTAAACACTTTGATGACAAATGCCCTTGAGCGCAGATGAGCGCAGTTGTCCGAATTTGTGGACCTGCGTCAACTCTGGCACTGATTCAAAGCTTCCGCCGATGTCCGTGACCTTTTAGCGAGCAGGTCAACTGCCAGGGGCAAAGATCTTTCGAGGATATGGCCTCCCAACAGCCCAGTCTGTGTACAAACTTCGGAAAACTTAGGGCCTCGCTGTATCATTGACCTCAAACGGGGGCAGAATGTCATGGAGTGCTGCATGACACCGACAGATCTGTCCCAAGCTTGGGAGCTGGCAGCCTCAATGAAAATTCGGAGCTTGATCTTGTGGGACCTCAAATGCCCCATAAAACTGCCCTGGCACATGACGGCTTGCAGTGTGCAGCCTTCCGATGCTCAAAGGTTTGGGTCTGGCACCTTACCAAGTCGGCCAGTGCCCACGAGAGCACTTCAGTTCCTGGGAAAGTGCCATGATAGAGTTGCGGAGTTCTTGCTCTATCATATCTGGTTTGCCTCTCTACACCGTGAACATTCCACATTTAAAAAATACTGGTACAGTATGTCTGGGCATGTCTGCGGGAGGTGAAGCACGCAGGAAAGGGCTAGGCAGGAAAAAAGGTCGGGGGTGCTCAAATGATGTGATCCCCAATGATGGTGGTATGTAGGTCTGAGAGCCTACATTCCACTCGCACACTAAGCACGCATGCAGCAGGCCAGCAAAGCTCAGTGCTGCGCTGTCAGATTCAGTCGAATATGCCAGCATTGAAATCACCTGAGGCTAGACATGACTTGCTGTCTACAGCTTTGGACTTTCCCATTGAAATCTTTCAACTTGTCTGAGTCTTCATGCTCAGCTATTCCTCCGGACCTTATCACAACATAATTATCGCAAGATATCACAACCCATCCTTTCCGCATCTATGATCCTGAAGAACTAATGTAGGAGCCCCCCACATATGGGCTTCTCTTCCAAATGACGTGGTAAGCCCAACTTCCAATTTTTAGATGGCTTATTATAGACATTTATAACTGGTTATCTCGTTGATAAGCAACCCATTGAGATGGTAAACTTAGGGGAAATCTCTTGGTTTACCTCAGTGCCAGGCCAGTAGCCTGTTGAACTCGTCCCGGTCCTGCGCTGAAGGCAAGTACCAAACAACAGATCTGCTGCGCCGTAGCGGTAAAAACGTGAAACGTGCCATGGTCAATGCAAGAGATAAGTACCAGCACCCGCGCACACACACACACAGCCGCACGGATATGTGTATATATATATATATATGTAATATAATATAATACAATAACATACGATAACATAATACAATATAATTTAATATAATACAATATAATATAATATAATTAATATAATTTCTTCTATCCTGAAACATCTAACTTGAGGCCCCAGGGGGGTTGAACGAAAGCTAAGGTTCATACGAGCCTGGTAAACATGATGGGATTTTGACGGGATTTGGATATGCTGAATACAGATTGCCTAGAGACCTGGCAGGATTTGAGCCCGTGACCATCTGCTTCCAACACCGTCCCAAAATGCCCCCGGAGCTTGGCGGGCGTTCGAGTGAAAAATCACCGTGTTGAACTCAGACCTGCCCCTCCCCTTGCTGAAGCAAGAGTAACTCCAGCTAGCTACCGGGTCCGAGAAACACTTGCCAAGAAAACATGCAAAGCAATGCTTTTGCAGCGAATCCTCATCGGAAAGTTCGTGGAGGCCAAGGTGTTGCCATGCCACCTTGCGGTAGCAGCGCCAGGCCATGCATCTTCATGACATCGCAGGAGGTTTCCATTGGGGGTAGCCCAAAATGGATGGTTTATATTGTTTATACTGGAAAATCCGATTAAATCACATGGATAATTTGGAGGTACCACCAATTTGGGATATTTTTCAGGAGATCTCCACATGCACACTGACACAAGTCTCCCACCTGCCAGGCTTCCCGCGACTCCATCGCCTTTGTCAAATTCTCCGCGAAGTCCCTGGAGACCGACGCAGCCAAAGCTTCTGCAATTATTTGTCTTTGATATCTTTGATGCTACTTGTGCCATTCATGGGCTAATAGTTTTGAACTTTATATTATATATATATGTACACATATATAGAGATATGTATATAATTGTATATATATATATATATATAATACACAAAATTATACACACACATGGTTGGTCTTGGAGGTGCCACATCTGCCGCTAGACATCGCCGCGGCCTGAAGTTTTCTCCATGGAGCTGACCAAACTGAAGCAAGGCCTTGCAACTTGCGCATGGTCTGGGTACCCTAACTTAAGCCAAGTGATCACCAAATGTATCAAGCTGCGACACAACTGAACCAACACTAGTTATTCAATGTTATTCAATAGCACGAGCATGTTCACTGACCAACGTGGAGAATTCCATTCCGATTGGTGGTTTCTGATGGTGGCCCCCTTGAAATAGACCAATTTTTTGCATCTCGGAAAAAAATAGCCTTGACATGCTGGAGCTCGCTGCTCCGGTCCTCATTGTCTGGACCTTGTGAAGGGTGACGAATGCGACGATTTTTCAACGTTTAATAATGTTTAATCATTTTTTGGAGCCACTTAAGTCACTTAAGTCACTTAAGTCACTTGAGGTGGAAAATGGTGAAGAAATTGAGATCACTTCCCCCTTGGATTTTGTGAGGCATTAAGCCATTCAGGGCCATTCTATCTCTTTGAGCTCTGATATACCTGGTCATGTGGATTCATGTTGCCACCTCTACCTTTTGCAAGGTGCCCTCACCAACACGCCAAGGAAGAGTGAACTTGACTGGACCTGTGCCAGGAGCTGCCTGGCCACGAGAATCTGTGGATGAGCCAACATAGGAATGGGACAGGCCACAATAGGCCAGTCAAACATCTGCTGTTGACGGAAAGTCAGAAGCCATCCCATGCCCATGATCTTTGGATATCTTTGGAATCCCTCCAGTCGCGCCCCTTTTTTTTGCACCATCCGCTGCAAGGCCTGGCTTTTTGCCCTGCGAGGTAGCCCTGCTCTTTCCATCATGCCGAGCTGAACCTCTGCCCGAGGTGACGTTGACCGTTGAGTTGACGCTTGATTTTCCAAAGGACCAACCATCCAGCCTCCCGCAGTAAGAAATTGATCTCAGGAAGCTCGAGGTCTGACAAACTTCGGGCCACCTGTCCAAAGTGGCTGCTGATATGACTCTGAGATGCTGAGCAAACACAGCGGGAGCAACAGTCAGAAATCAATGTCTTGCCACATCCTGTTCCGCAGTTGCCTTTAAGAGCGCATTCTCTTTGGCGGAGCTGTCTGCTGGAAGTTCGTATGCCACGTGCCTGCCAATGCGAAAGTCACTCATTGTTGCAAGTATGTTATATATCTGGTGTTCTTTTGTCATTTTTATCTTCCACATCGGAAAATATCGGATGTAGCCCACTGGCAACATGCTCCCCCAAGTGAACAAAGCACAAGCACCTACAGTAATTCAGTACTTTAAAGAAGGGACATCCAGTAAAGTAAATCAGTAAATCCATTCCCAAGCACTTCACAGTTCATTTGTCATGGTTTCATATCACCTTTTATTGCCCGTCTGTCCACAATTATTAGCTTTCTGAATCTTTCTGAAACGGTTGGGATGATTCAGACATTGCGGCCCTCCTCACCAACAGGGACACCTGTTTTCCATCTCTATTTTCTGCACCCCAAATTTTCCAACTAAGAACATCTCATCATTGGATGATTCGGCTAGGAACATTTATAGAGGAGCATATTTTCCTATTAAACCATATATTTATAGATATTTATCGAGGATTTGCCGACTTTCATCATGGAACATCTACAGATATCTACAGGAAACCATGGCATTTTCCGACCAGGTTTCACCAGGTTTCATCCTGTCCTTGCCAGCGCCGCGAAGGCTGTCACACACTCAGGTGGTGCTGGGCCTGGAAACAGGGCTCTTGAAGCCCTGCCAAGTGTCGTGGTAAACTGTGGCAAAACTAACATAGCTATGGAAAATCACCATGTTTAATTGGAAAATCCACTATAAATGGTGGCAAAACTACTCTTTTCATCTCTTTTCGAATGGTTTTCGGGGCTTGTGGCTTGATGATCATGCAGCATCATGCATGAATATGACTTATGGATGGATGGGTACGGACGGTTAATGAAGGTTAATGATACTTCTCGCGACAGAACCCTGGATGTTCATGATGACTATTCATGCCCGTCTATCACTTTTGACGATGGTCAGCATCTCAGACCTAGGAGACCGTAGTATCTGAATTGTTCTGTGTGATTCATTCAGTTCAACTAACTAGCCGCAAGTTTCATCTGCAGGTACCCAACTTTGGGCCAAATGGATTTAGATCATAGGTGATCATGAGGCAGCTGCCATCGAACTCCACCTTCTCGTCTTGCCTCCATAGGAGCAAACTTTGCAGAATCAAATGGCAAAGTGGCTTTGTCTATATTCGTCTATGTAATATATATATATACACATATGTATATATATATATTTAATTATATTTGTATACACATATGTATAAATAGTATTAAATAATTGGGGACACCCCACATCAACTTTTGATGCAGGAAACGGTCAACTGGGACTTTTGGAGTACAAAGAGACTCTACCTTTGGTGAATGCGACAGGCAAGCCTGGCCACCTCAGATTTCTCATCGGCATCAGGTTGAGGGGACCTCAACTCAGTGATATCATCGCTGTTTCTGCAGCAAAATTCCTGACATTTGTATTCCATTGACCTTAATGTGGTGAACCCAATGTCAAACCATTCCCAATATTGCCACAAATGAGTGGTATATTATAAAGATTTATAAAGCCCATTACCAAATGGTAGTTTGGTACTGGTAGTTTTCTATTGGGTTTACCGCATTCAACTCTCTCCAAGATTCTCCAAGTCCTGGACTCGCCCTGGAGATCTTCCAATGGAGTGGTCGGCACTTGCAGCAAGCTGGGCCGCCGGGGCACCGCATTCTCCGGTGGCGCTTGGTCCAAGTGGCTGATCTCTGGGATATCCGGCACACCTGGCACCACGGCAGAGCTGGCAGTTGAAAGAAACATTCAGAAAACACGTGGAACGTGGATTGAAGATTCATAATATTTCATAATGTATATGTGTCAAATCATATAAACTATAAATCATACTTGATCATGTTCGATTATGTCACAATGAGCCTCCAACAGGCAGGCCAATGGCAGAAGTTGCTGGGGCACGTACGGTCTTCGTTTTCGTTCAAGGTAGGATCGTCTGGCTCTATCAGCTTTCCTGACCAGGCACCCTGAATCAAAAAAAATGTCTATCCAACGTCTTCCAACATCTTCCAACAAGTCTGCGCTCAAAACATTCAAAAACCTGCCTGCGATCTCTGGAGCTTCTGCTGCCTCAGTGCTCTCAGGCACCTCAGCCTCGGGTGCCTGTCTTTTTGGCGGGCGACCACGTTTCTTCGGCACCTGCCGACTTCACACCCTACATATCCTCAAGGCAAAATGGAAGTGAACAAATGGCGAAGTGAACAAATGGCCAAGTGAACAAATATGAACAAATGGCAAGCACATAACGACTATAACTAAAGGTTAAGGCAAAGCATTTTGCGCGCACCTTCTGATCACCATCCTGATTTGTGTCGGCGCCTCAGATTACAGTGGGAAGACATGAGCTTGTGCAAATACATCGGATTTCTCTAATGTGGGCTATTTTTCGGCTGCACCAGTTCCCGTTGTCCAATATTAAAAAGACATATCAAGCATTCCCAGGCATTCTCGAAATTTATCTACATCAGCATAAGGGGTATTACGGTATTAGAGAACAATCTGTGATTTCTCGGCATCGGATTGTAGTTTCCAGGCCTTTGGGTGGGCGTGGTTCTTGCGCCTTGGCTGCGGCCTTTGCTGCGGCCTTCGCGGCGTCCTTCACTACCTGGTTCGAGACCGGGCAAACTTGTGACTATTGTGACTGTACCATCCAGAGCTTCAGCCCAAGAGAGTACATTACTACAGGCTCGTACTGGGTTGCAATGGGTTACAATCATTCAACACTGACATCTGAAAACGATCATTGTTGTAGCCCGACAGTGGAATCTTGAGTGGGCACAGAGTCCATGAGTTTTATTTCCGGGTTATTCGTTCTCATTTTTGATATATGACTGGACCGTGCATGCATACGATACAGTGGCATATGAACTGTTTATAGATCATGCATTGTAACATGCTATAAGTACAATTAACTATAGTATTAAATATTTTTAATATTATAATTTGTCTTGAATCAATGGACACGGCCCAAGCGTCATGAATAATTTCTCGATGGTAAGGCCTGCTTCGCAGTTCGCTCTGCTCTGAGTTTCTCATTCTTCTTGACCTTCTTCCTCTTCTCTTTTGCTCGTATGCGGGCCTTGGAAGTTTCGCTTGCTAAACTGGACTCCGGCAACCCGGAGAAGCTGCAGGCAGAGAGGCTCAGCACAGCTATACCAACTTGGGAGTTCGATGATCTGAGATTGAACACACAAACAGATCATACAGGACCACACACTAGAGCACACAGTGTCACAATGTGTCACACATTAATTATCATTATTATCAACGATACACGCCTTATCACGCCATTTTCATCCCTTTTCCGCAACATCAGGCCGGAAGCATCCGCAAGAAAAGCAGGTAAGTCATCCAGTTGAAGATTGAGTATATCCAAAGATTCTCGAACTGCTGATTGCTCCCATGAGGATTCGATTGAAGTAGCTGCTCGGAGGAGCACGCCGGACAACTCTTGCTCCAGTGCTCCAATGCCAGAGCTTCTGAGCGAATGCTGCTCGAAGCTGTCTCGGGGCAACGTAGAAACTGATGCTTGGGGCGTGTCTGGTTCGACAGGTTCGATATCGGCCAGTGAAGCTAATGATTTGCGGCCATAAACCACTGCAGAGTTGGAGCTGATGGATCCTGCAGCTTGGGATTTCTCTGCCTCCATCTGCTCACCCGCTGCTCGAGCTTTCAGCAATTGCATCTTGGCCTCCGCATGGTGCAACTCCCGGTCTCTTTGGACCAGCTCTGCTTTCAGCTCCTCTTTCACCTTCGCGTGCTTTGTGCGGGCCCCACTGGCTGCCGCCTGTTTAGCCTCCAGGAGTTTAGAAGATCTTTCTTCCAGGCGACGGCTCTCGGAGACTTCGCTCCGCAAGTTCTTGATGGCGGCATCTTTTCGCGCAGACTCTCGCCGAATCTGCGCCAAGGATCGGGACAAGTCCTCTTCCTGTCGCGCGTCTTCAAGGCGCTGACGAGAAACTTCCTGCAGATCCGTGTCCCAATTCAGCAAGACCCAAGCATTCGATACCCCCATCGAAGGATATCATCCCAACAACATCCAAAAACCATCTATAATTAGACTCTTAGAGGTTCTATCATCTCAACAAAATCCAAAAGAATGTCTCTCCCGTCTCCCTCTCTCTCTCTCTGTCTGTCTCTCTTGGTACATAATATAATGGGAGGTGATCAAGCAACTGGGACACTGACACTTGGCAACACCCGTCCTTATATCTCTTTTGCAGCGTAGCTACAAGGGCCTTCTTACGGTCAGCATCGTCACGGCTGACAGCCAGTCGTTGCTTGGCATCTCGTATGCGTTCACGCAGATCAGAAGCCTCAGCTGTTTCAAGGTGGATGGCTCATGTTTGGTTTACCCCTTGGGTATCCAACATGGCCAGCTGGGAAATGGAAATCCATGGAAATCCCGTATCAATGGAGGCTTGACTGGGAAAATCGGGTGTAAATATGTATTTTCCAGCAAGCCATGTTTGATTACCGGAGGGGTCCCGAGGGTAGGTGTATTTTCCTAGAGTTTGATCGAGCTATTGCAAAATTCAAGCAGTTGGGAGAGGCTCTGCCAGGCTAAAATCGATGATGCTCCTGAAGACCACAAACGAGAATTCTTCTGCTCCTTGTTGGGTTTACAATGTTTTACATGTGCTGTGATTCGTGCTGCTGCACGTCAATTTGAACCCTTGCTTAATGATCTTACAATATCTTACAATGATTTGAAGTAAGGATCCGCTTTCTTTGAAGCGTCAATCTGCTCAGTGAGCTGGGACTCCTGCTTCTCTTGCTGAGCCAATAGGCGTTCCAAATGTTTTCTCTTGGGATCAGAGCGCGCTGCTCTGTCGGCTCTGTGTTCTCGCTGCACTGCATCAGAGATCTTTTCCGCCTTATCTCCTGTTTTTGCTTCCCGCGTCGCCTGCAAGCGATCGATTTCTTGAGCCAAAGCAGCTACATGACCTCTGGCGGAATTAACTTCTTGAAGCAATGCATCTTTCCTGATCTCATCTGCCTGATGCCTGGCCTCAGCCTCATTGCGCTGCAGGCTGTCCCTGCGCTTTGCTGCTTCCAACTCTGACTCCAGTTCTCCAAGTTCCTTCTGCAGCTGTGCCTTTCGAGTTGTCCAGGCCTCGTTCTTCGCAGTTAACGACACATCCAGGGGCTCCACAACTTCCACAACTTCACTCTCGGAATGAAGCTCGGAGAGCTGCATCTGTCGTAACTTGCGATGCCATTCCTCTCGTTCTTGCCTGTAGCGTCGGTCCTGTGTATGAAGCTTGGCTTCAGCTCGTTGCAATTTCAACTCTAGCTGGCGACTGGTACATCTCAGTTCTTCTACTAGGAGTCCTTCAGTTTTGGCTTCATTGAGCTGCGTATCCCTTTCCGTTGAGATTTGTTGGCATACCGACCTACCAGTTTGTAGTTGGCTGGACAATGTCTCCAATTCCTCCTGGCAGCCATCCAAGCTGGCTTCTGCGTTGCGGATCTCGCAAGCAGCTAAGGAGGGAAGCATCAGTTGCTGGACGTGCTCTTGCAGCTCCATACTCATCTCCTCAGATCTATCTGACTGCCTTTTGACTTCCGCATGTTCAGCACAAGCTTCATCAAACTCCAGTTGCAGCTGTTGATTGCAGACAGCCCTTTTGTTCAGTTCCTCCTGAACATTGGTAAGGCTGGTGCGCAACTTCGTCAACCCCTGTTCAACCAAAGGGCTTCCGGCCAAAAACGTCTCAGACATTGACTGCAAACGTCGAGCTGTGAGAGCTACTGTGTCAGCTTCTGTGGTTTTGGCTCTCGCTAAATCAGTCGAGCGCATGGCCATGAGGCTTTCTTGTTGGGCGGTGGCTTCAACGACCTCCTGTTCTGATGCCAACTGTCGCATCTCAAACTCTTTGGCCCTCTCCTCTTCGGCTTTTCCTGCCCAGCTCCGATGTTGCTTGACATTGACGATTCAGATCGATTCAAACAACACATCGGCAAACTTCGATTTGCATGGGATTTTTTGATGGGCCCATCCAAATGAATCTACATAATGCAAACCATGCCTGTGACAATCAATAAAACAGCTAGGAAATTCTTCAGCGCCCTGCAAATCCTGGAAAAGATTCAATCTCCGGACAGGGAGGCACCTTGCCAAAACATCGACTGCTGCAACTCCTCAAAGTGTTTCTGCTGCAGACTCAGAAACTCGGAATGCTCTGCTTCTGACAACCGTGCTTGAACTGCCAGGGCTTTAGCCTCCTCAGGCAATTCAACATCAGGCAGCAAAACTATACCGTGGTCCATGCCATTTCATAGCAGCCTGCCTATCTCAAATACCATCATACCTTTTCTGGGGGATATGTGATGTACAATGCAACTTTAACTGGGTTCCAGCTCCTTTGCTCTAATATAAAATAATATACAGTAGCTTCATCATGATAAGGTTGTCGTCTGTGCATGACTTGTGAATGCAAGACCTGTGCCTGGTCCCATGGCCCATGGCCTTTCACTGGGAAACGGATGGAAAACGGGGACAAAAATTGCGGTTCCTGGGGGTTGCTGGGCCAATTTACCATCATATTTCCAGAGCGCAAAACTTCTTGTTATTACTATTATTATTGTTATTAATATTTATATCATTTATTGTTATCATGATTGTAATTAGAATTCTTGGTACTATTGCTACGAGTAATAAGCAATAATCAAATATAATCAGTACTTTCTCGCTCTCTCTCTCTGTTTTATGTGTTATTATTGTCATTTATTGTCACTATCATCATCATTACTGTCGTTATCATCGTGCCACTAGTTTTCTTGTCTATGGAGGGGGACATTCCTTGTAGGGACACTCCTAGAACATTCGTTTTCATTAATTTTCATTCCACATAATTCAATTTCAATCCAAATATATAATTCCATTTTATTCCATATACGTTTTTTTCATTTCAAACTACTTTTTGGATTTTTGGATCATTTTCAAGATTTTTTGAAAAAATATGATTTCTGAGTTTTTTTCCCTGATTTTTCGCTTCTTTTTTCAATAGATTTTCTTCATTTTTTTTAGATATTTGCTTGTTTTTTTTGCTTTTTTTGGAACTGTTTGGAACGTTTTTGAATCTTCTGGATTTTTGTGGGGCTTTTATGCTTTTCCTTATTTTTTTTACATTTCTTCCAGATTTTTTTGAGAAACGGTTGGGTTGATTTTTCGTTTTTTAATTGGTGGATTCATTTTTTACAAATGCTTTTTTTATTTTTGGGAATGTGTGTGTGTGTGTGTTTTTAGCTTTTTTTTTTTTGGGGGGGGGGAAAGGATAGCAACTTCTAGGAGTAGCCCTGTTAGGACGAGCCCAGGGCTCTTCAATGATATCTACTTCGGTGTTTTAAATAAATCATCACATAAATAAAATATATAAATAAAATAACCAATCAAACAACATAAATAACATAAATACATACATAACTTCATAAATAAACAAATGCATAAATAAATAAAAACATCTGAATAAATACATAGACACTGTATATATATATATATTATATCACATTCATATCCTTTGGTTAATCACCTGCTTGGAAAAGAACATCTATGGTTCTTCCTCCTATCCAGTAGGGAAAGGCTGGAAAAGGTCCTGTCCTGCTTCGCAACTTCCTCTTGCTGCAGTTGCAGCATCTTCGCCTCGGTTTCCTCTTGTTGGCGGCGCTGCAAGCTGGATGCTTCCCGCACATCCTGTAGCTCCTGCCTTGGTTTGGGGATGGCTGGAACTACCATTGACTCCCTATACTTTTGGTGGAAACGTGGAAACGTGTGGGCACATGTGGACACAATGATAATAAATTCAATATTGATTGGGATTTGCGGGGCCCAATTTACGAATCTGTGGGCCCGCAGCCCATGGAACCGGCATCTTAATAACCAAAGCCTGCTTGAAACTGGCATGGGGTTGCCACTCATTTACCATCAATCCCATCATTTCCCCATGGGATTGCCTTTCAGCCGTAAGGATTTCGCCAAGGCGCTCTTGCAATTGTTTCTTGAGCTGCAGATCATGGATCTCCTTCAGAACGGCCCTGTAGCCCCGGTGCAGGTCATGCTGTGCTTGGAAAACGGCCTCGACGCGCTGAAGGACGGCGCCAGACCTGACAAAGCTGTGCTAAGTTTAATCATGTGCCAATGAATTGCTAATGTACTTGCGTGCTATAACTCCGTAAACTGTTTTGTGATTTCTGACTCTGTGACCAGTTTCAATGTACTTCTGAACAATGGTTGGCATCATCGAGTACAGTAAACTAGGCATGTCATGAAGTAGACTAGGCATGTCATGCACTTTCAAATCTTTCAAGTTGCAAAAAAGCTCGTGTTTCCAATTTCGATCGGATGGAATGAACACCTGCCTCTGAGAACCGGTAGAAACATCGCCACCACGCAATGCAAGGGTCTCAGCATCAAACTGTGAAACCAAAAAACTGCCTTCGCTTTCACTGATGATACTTGGCCCATTGCCTGAAAGATGCAGCTCCGAAAACTCTCTTTGTTGCATGAGTCCTGCTTGCACCTCTTCACACCATTCTTTGCTACTGGCCAACTCTTGCAGAACTAGATTGCCTTCTGATTGTCTTGTGCTCCTGTCTGCTTCCATGCACATGTGCTCCACCCTTTCAGCCATAGAGGTTACAGCACCGCAAACTTGCTCCAGATCAAGGGGCGGAGTCCGGCTTGGAGCTTCTGTCTGGCCCGCCGCATCGGCCGGATCTGCCGGGTTCCGATCGGCTTTCAGACCGTCACAGCGGTCTCTTGCGGCGTTCAGTTCCTTTCTTACATGACGCAGCTGAGACTTCAGTTCTAACACATGCTGGCGGCTGTAGAACGGATCACCATTGTGTGCTGGAATGCCACGGCCAGCAACATAGGAGGTCTGTAAATTCTCATAGTGAGATGATAGTATCGCGATTCGATCTTCTGCTCTTTGGTTCATGGATGCCAATTCTTCGACTTCAGTCTCAAGTCCACGTTCACGAACTTCAGCGCAAGCTGTGGTTTGCCAACTCTCCGAATCCCGGAGCAATATCGTACAGGTCTCAAACAGTTTCTTCCGCCACACATCCATCTGCTGAGCTGTTTCGGTTTTTGCTTTCTTCTCAGCAACTTCAAGTTGTTCAGCAATAGTTGCCTCAAAAGTTTGTGATTTCAGCTCACACTTTTCACATTCAGCCATCCCTTGATGGAATTCCAAGGTCAAAGCTGCAACCTGTGCTTCCAGCTGGTCCTGACTGAGACTATACGCTTTGGATGGTGCACTCAGTGCACTCCCACCTTGTTCTGCTGGCAATGGCATTGCCATGGGCAGGGAGGGCACCAAAGTGTGTGCCAAACTTTTCCAGGTATGTTCTGTCATCTCGTTTTTTACGGCCAGCCACTGTGCTCGTGCGATGGCTCCTAGGACGGCTGCAAGGACTTGCTGTGTGGCAGGACTTTCCTTGCTGGTTTCATCCAACAATGTTCGGAGGACAGCCGATGATTCACCAACTTCATCAGTTTTTAGCTCTTCTGCGAGGAGCTTCTGCTGCCGGGTCCGGAGACTGGACAATGCTTTGCTGACTTGCTGCTTTCTATCTGAAAGAATTTCATTCTGAAGCTTCAATTGCCTGAGCTGCCCCTGGGTGTCGGCAATGTCGTGCAAAACGCTGGTCCGTTGGGATGCTGTTTGCCGCAATTCACACCTGGCCGCCGAACTTTTGGATTCATTCAAGACCTCTTGTGCACGCAGGTCCACTGATTGCAATTCTTCCAATATTTCAGGCACTGGATGCCGATGAAGGGCCTCCTCTATCGCCATCTCTGCGCAACGAAGTTGCAGATTCAGGTCGTTGACTGAACCCAGTAGCAGCATCACTTGGCCAACGAGCTCTGCTACGCCTTGCTTCCAGAAGCCTTGTTGTGGATCTTCGTGTTCTGCTTGTCGGGCTTGTCGCTGCATGGACTCCGCAACCTCCCGCAAAGCCTGCCTCAGGTCGTCCGCTTCTTGCTGACATTCCACAGATTCTACAACTTGACCCTGTTCGTCCATCTCGCTTGTTTGAATGGCATGCATCTCCTTTTTGCATGTGCTCTGCATCTTCCTGATGCTGGGTTCCAAGGAAACACTGACTTGTGGCAAAAAAACGGCTGCTGCTTGGCTCCGTTGTTCTGCTTCATGCAGCTGGGTCATGGCCACTTTTGTGGCAAATCGCTGTTGTTCCAAGTCATGCTCCAGTGAACAACGCTCCGCCCGCAACTGTTCAAATCTCAATGCTTCTCGAAGCCCTTGATGTGGAGACTGTGATCCTGGCTTGCCTGCACAGCTCATCACGCAGCAATACCAAGATTGAAGTTGACCACGGTACTCCGCTGTATGGGAAATATATCAAAACATATCATGGCATGAGCTGTATCCACATGCATCATCATGTATCCATGCTAGTCTTGCAGTTCCTCTTGCGGTTGATTGGGGCCTGCATGACTTATGAATTCAACACAGCCCCGCAAGCTGATATGTTCAGGCCTGAAGCAAGGAGAAGCAGCCCATGTTCTTCTTGCAAGAGCTCGTCCTGGGGAACGGCCCGGAGAAAAGCGACAAGGAGCCAAGGAGCCTCCAAGATCCGGCAACTTGATGATATTTGACGTCAAAATTGGAAACCATCGAGTATCCCACTTCCAACTTTATACACTTTTGGGGGCCCGTGGCTGCGATCCGTCCTTGAGCCAACTTACATCTCCCAAGTCTCCCGTTTCTGGATGTGCCGGCAGCGCAGGCTTTGCAGTTGACTGTAGATTTGCCTTGTCACTGCTACGCTCGCGGCTTCCCACGCTTTGAGATCTTTGAGCAACAACTTTCCGCGGTTTTCTGCCATTCGTTGAGCCCTTCATGGCTTCAGATGGCCGGGCTCTGTGAGCTGGCAGTTGGGACTTTTGGAGCGCCTCCTGAAACTCGGCAACCTGAGGCAGGCAATAGACAGCAATAGGCAATTGCACTACATGGAGGATGCTTCAACATGGTTCAACTCTGCGGTCCACTAAGCCACCACAAGTACTTACATCCCAAACATTTCCAAAACCTTGGGCAGACACACTTGCACAACTGGATGGCAACGAACACTTAGGACTTAGGCCCTGGCTTTTTGAGGTGCTTGGACATGTGCTGTCACCGCTGTAGCCGCCATGGATGCAGCAAGTTCGTTGGTCAAAAAGTTGACCTTCTGCTTCGCATCGTCGCTCTCTGCCTTGAGAGAAACAACTTCTTCCTCAGCTCGCCAGGCACGGCGTTCAGCCTGTTCTGCCATCTCTGCCAATGCTTCGCAATCGGATTCGGTGAAATCATGGATTTCATGTACGTTCGCACTCTGCAGAGTCGCCAGTTCACCCTTGGTCGCCTCAATCTGGGTCTGGGTGGCCAAAGCTGCACGGACACCTGCCTGTTGTGCCAGTTCTTCGTAGTGACCCACTTCTATTTCAGCCTTGGAAAGCTCTTGCTCCAAACGTTCGATGACAGCATCCTTGACCTCCAGAATGGCCAATGCTTTGGCATTCTGAGTGCGTCCCCAGTCCTCTTGCATCTCAACCAGTGCTTTGCAGTAATCTCTTGGTCTCTCCACTGGTGTCTGGATAGCAGGTTGCAAGTTCGGCCACTAGCTTTCTTGTGTGGCGGGATGGAATTCTGTGGTAGGTCCATGCTCACCACCGATGCCACGGCTTGAACGACATGATCATAAACTACTGTCAAACTTTGAACGTTCTTGGGGATCTTGCTTGCTGATGATCTGCTGATGTTTTCCTTTTTGGCATCTCACGGCTGTCAGGAGGGATGCAATGGATGCCGAATGTGTCACAAAATGGAATCGTATTTGCCAAGGTGGTTTCATGCTACTTGTCCCAACTGTTTGGACAGAAACTGAGATTACCAAAGAGTACTTGACGCATTTGTCCTGCAGTCCTTTAGCCCTGAAAGCTGGATGGGCCGATAAATCCAGCCAGTCAAATCTTCCATGCGTTCAAAGTGGGCATCCTGAAATCCGCAGGCGTCACGTGATGCGAAACCATTAAAATACACTTAAAATAGATGTTTCTCGCATGTACCAACCATTGGCCAACCATTGACCAACCATTTCATCTGTTTCCACATGTGGCCGTGTCCTGGGTCCAAGGACTCTCCTAGCCTCTGCTCGCTCGGCCGCAGTCCTCGGCTCAGGATGGCGCTGGAAATTGGGGTGGGTCGATGGTAAATGGGTGGTGAATGGGTCAGTATTCTTGGTGAACAACAGGGTGCCAGGGTTTTGACATGTGAAATGCAAAACCCTGATGTGCACCGCCTAGATTTCTGAATCTTCTCCGCGTCATCATCGACCTGCCCAAAATTGCCCGATGAAAGGAGGATCCCAAGTGTAACCGAACACAACAAAAAATGTCAGCCTCCATGTCTAAAGCGGAATTGCACGGGCATCGTTCGATGGTGAAACAAATCGTAGTGAACAATTTTTTGTTAAACAAACCTGATGCGGTGGATTTCAGCGTTTCGTGCTCGCAGGACAGGAACATTTTCCATTTTTTCCTGGAGGCGCGGTAAGTGCTGCAATGTCTCGGCTAACTAATTCCTAATTCTTGAGCCATTGCCATGGCAATGCGACACTGGAAACCCAGCAACCAAGATCTCAAGTTTTGCTTCACACCTGCATGCAACACGGATGGGTGCCGACAGAACTTATAAAAGGGTGACCCCAAAAGAGGAAAAACCAGGAGGAGGATGAAGGAGGGGGAAGGACATGATTTATGAGAGGCAAATTCACCCAATTGCATACCCAAAAATTAACACGTCAACCACAACCAACTGTCAACCGCTGCTTGCAATTGGAATGATGCGACTGATGGACTTGGAAAATATACACCAGCACACACACAAACTCACCAACCCACAGTTGCGGTATAGTCGCAAACAAATGTCCTAATACGCGCAAACATGTCATGCGTGCAAACTGCAAACAAATTTGCAGTGTGGCCTGATTGATCTGATTGTTGAGGTTTAATTTAATGTGTGTATGCCAAAATTTATGCTTGCATTTTTTCCCAAACAGTGTTGGCCTAAGGGTTTGCGGATCCGGTGTTGGTTCCAGGATGGTTCTGATAGTTCCCACGATTTATGGTTTATGGGTCGGCATTTTCTATACCAACTGGGATGCCACCTGGGCAGAACATGAAATGGGTCGACATTTTCTATACCACCTGGGGGGCCACCTGATCGCAATAACCAAAATCATGGAATGTTATGAAGGCCGACGGGCGGTTTGCTATTTGTTTTGCTAACGTTTCCCTACCACCTTTACCCACCCACCAAACCAGTCCAACAAATTGTCCCATGACTCGTCCTATGATTGTCTCAGTGCCCACCAGACCGAACCTATATGACGCAGCACTGAGAACAAATCGGGAATTTCAAATTCACCCCGGCTGTTATTCCCAACAGCAAATCTGTTGATCTGTTGGGTTTCAATCTCTGGTGCCAGGGAGTGGTGTGACGAAAATGCACGCCCCGGACCTTGTTGGAAATGTGCTGGAACCTTGTTGGAACCTTCCCGGAACCTTGTTGGAACTTCCCAACACCGATTCCGTTGGGTTTCAATCTCTGAAGCGGGAAGTGGTGCCAGCAAAATACATGTTCCGGAAAACTGGAACACGGAGCCTCGCCGGGACCTTGCTGGAAAGTCATAGCTGGAACCTGGAAACTGATGAAACTTTGCTGGAACCTTGCTAGAACCTTGCTGGAGAATCGCTGAGGTCTTGCTGGTGGAACCTTGCTGGAACCTTCTTGGAACCTCGCTAGAACCCTGTTGCTTGAACCTCTGGCTGGAACATTTTGCTAGGAACCAATGCGGGTGTCGTTTTCTGATTCTTACATTGTTTCTTGTTTTGCTTAATGTGCCGGGTTGTGATGTTGGAAACCTGGCTGGAACTTTGCTGGAACAGGCTCGAACCGATTTGCAACCTTGGCGGAACGTATATGAAGACAATTTTTGGTTTTGTTTGGGCGCGTTTTTTCAAAAAAACTTGTGGTTGGCAACTACAGACAACGAACCGTTGCTGAAACTGTGATGCTGGAATCCTTGCCCGAACCTTGCCCTCCAGGGTTCCAAGGTTGCAAGGTCACGGGGAAAAGTTCCAAGCTGGCACCAAGATCCTAAGGATACAGGTTTCCAAAGTGCGCAGGTTTATTCTAAATGAACGGGTTCCAAAATTTTAACGGTTCAGGCAATTTCAATGTTCCAAGGTTCCAAGATTCCAGGGTTTATCACGCCAGGCCTTTCATGGTTCCATGGTTCCAGGACGTTCCAAGAATTAATGACAAATGATACCCCTTGATTGTGCCCGAAGATGCTTTACGAAACATTTTGTCGAGAAAAAACTGTTATAAAAATTATAAAATGGTCTTCTGTCAGCCAACATCCAGATATTCCAGATAGCAAGTGGGAACCCTCTATGAAATGACCTCTCTTGATTCTAGCAGGAGTGCTGTGAAAAATAAAAATATGAAACACAATGACAAATCAAAATGAAATGATCGTGAGTAAGAACGATAATCGTATATAATCCTAATGTATACCAAAAATGCTAGAGATGAATGAAAATTTGTATATAATTTTTTTTGTATCTGTCCATTGTCCACACACACGGATTGTGATGTGATGTAAAGATGTGTCTTTTACGGTATCCATATATCCCCTACCTACCTACCTAGCTAGCTAGCCCCATCCATGCATCCATGCATCCATGCATGCATGCATGCATGCATCCATCCACCCATCCACCCACCCATCCACCCACCCATCCACCCATCCACCCATCCATGCATCCATGCATCCATGCATCCATGCATGCATCCATGCATCCATGCATGCATCCATGCATCCATGCATGCATGCATCCATGCATGCATCCATGCATCCATGCATGCATCCATGCATGATCCCCGACCCCAACTGGTTCAGGAGTAGGGGGGGTGGATCCTACATTTCTGATAATGTATGAACATAAGGGGGGGGTTAACCCCCTCACTTTTTGCCAAAAATGTATGGGAACTAGGGGGGGGTAACCCCTCAAAATGAAGCATGTATGAGTGCCAGATGCTGGAAATGTATTATTGGTAGGGGTATTGAACCTGAAAATGTATGCTTTGTGGGGGGCACCACTGACAAGAGCCAATGGATACATAAAACTTTTCTAAATGTATGCAAGCATGGGGGGGTCTGCACCTCAATCCAATTGATTTTTTTTCCTGGGAAACCTACTGAAACCCATGGGCCATAAAATGGCTGAAATATCCCCCTTTGAATTAAGTGAGAGTGTTGGTGTTGACAATTTTATAATGATAATCCGGGAGGCCCTGACCCTCTTTCTGAAAATGCATCTATAGAATCAGAGACCCCAAGGTATTTTCAAGTTGACAATCTCTATAGAATCGATGCCGCCAAGTCACTCTCGTAGATGGTTGGGGGGGTTAGTTGGCCTTCTATAAAATCAGGTTCCCCAAGTCTCCTTCATTGACAGCTGACCTGAATGCTCCAGTTACTCTTGCCTAGCTTGCCTTATGCACTCCCAAATTTATAGAGTTCAAAGGCTCCAAGTGTTCACTGTCAACCCCTTCAATTTCAAAGATCTTGAAAGTCGCTCTGTTTCATTTTGTTTCATTTTGTATCCATCTGTTTCCATCCGTTTGCTCTTTTTTAGCGGAAAGGCGGAAAGGCTGGCTCGAGGACTTCGACCCAAAAACGGTGAGACACACTGGGGAGACACAACAGGGAGAAAGAAGGGGGAGACACAACGGGGAGACACAACAGAAAAATGATGCAAAATGAAAAATGTCACTTTTATATATTGAAATGTCAAAATTGTACATATTTGCTGAATATAACTGATGATAACTGATGAAACCCTGATGATAGATCTCCAACAAATCTCCAATATATCCCAAAAGTATCCAAAAGTTTCCAAAAATATGTCAAGATTCCAAATGATTCCAAAAATTACAAGGATGATCAAGGATGATGAAGGATGATGAAAGAATTGTTGTGGGAAATTGGTTCTGCCAATGCTTCTCTATAAAATTGAAGAACATAACATGCACCATTTTCCAGGAAGTAACGTTCCCGATTCTGTAGAGGAAATTCCAAGGGGGATGCTGAAATATACTTGATCTTAAATATTCTGAAATGTATGCATTGCAGGGGGTACCAATGACTACCTTAGCCAGATCTATTCCCTCCATTTTCCAAAAATGATGTGCTTTTCGGCTACCCAACCCCCTTAAAATACATTTTTCAAAGAAGGGTATTCCCAGAAAAAAAATAAGCATTCCCGGGGATCCTGGAAAAACCAAACCCGTAAAATGTATTAAACCACCCCCTCAAAATAAAAGATCCTGGGGGGGGTTGGATATCCCGACCCATGGATCCTACATTTAACGTACACCCACCGGTCAAATAATGTATTTAGGGGGGGTCCTGGGGAATCAAATTCTTGGAGAACGGTAAATGTATTTTTTTTCCCCAACCTCTCCCCCCCCTAAAAT